CCAGAACAATGATAGACGATAAAACAAACAAACAAACAAACAGATGCTGTTTTAAGCCATTAAATTTGAGTGGTCTGTTTAGCAGCAAGATTTAGGTCCTGGAAGTGAGTGTGGTTGTAACAGAGCCTAAAACACGTGGCGTTGGCTTTGGGACTGAATGGCAGGCAGAAGACAGAAGCGCATTGAGAAGACTGTTCATGAGGCCTAAAGGACATCAAAGAGGCTTTAAAGGTAAGTGAGTAACTGCTGTTGGAAGCTGAAGGAAAGGGGACCCTTGTCATGCAGTGGTGGAAATTTTGGCAACACTGTTGTGTGTGGCAATGTGGAAAAGAAGAAAAGTAGCTAGTGAACTCAGTGATCTAGGTCAGAGATTTCAAGGCAGGATAATGAAAACGTCACTTGGCTTCTTCTCAGTGCCTATGGAAAAATGGCTTCTGGGCAGAAATCACATACAGAGCACTGTCAGGAAAACATCTAAAGATGAGGCCAATAACGTGACGGTGAAAACTTTTGTTAAGATCTCAGAAAGATTTAAGGGTTTCACAGGAAACCTCAAATAGAAAGGAGTTTATCTCAAAGAGATTTGTGGTTGTGGCTTTCGTCTAATAGAGTAAACCCCAAAAGGATTCACAGAAAACTGACAAAATTTTAAGAGAATTGTTCTGAGGAGAGTATCGCCAGCTTAAATGAAAAGGGACAAAGCACAACATAAAAAGAGACTTTCGAGCCTAACCTCTTTTTATTAACAGAAAACAAACCAGGAAGGGTACTTAGTTGCAATTCAGTTTTCTTATGCAAAAAGGAAGAAAAGATTCAGAAGCAAAAACCAGGAGCTCAGAGGGTGCAACTAAGTGCCTTGGTGAACAATTTCCAGGCTGTAGGATTGACCCCTGAACAGGGAACTGGCCATGCGGGCCGAGCTGGATTTTGGAATTACTATGGCCCAGTGACTCCTGTGTGTGCTCATTTTCCAACTTCTTGAACAGGAGCATCTAGAATGTTTTTTCTATGCCTGTCTCATCATTTTATGGGGTGTGTGTGTGTGTGTGTGTGTGTGTGTGTGTGTGTAGATAACTTGTATCTTTAGTTCACAGATCTTTAGATGCAAAAGAATGGCATTCAAGGGACCACACCCAAAGAATCACCTCTGAGGAGCCTCATCTGCACCTCGTCTTGATTTGGATCATGAGACGCTGGACTTCAAGCTGACGCCATAGTGGAATGAAATTTGGGAGTCTTGGGGGAAAGGTTGAATATATTTTGTATATAGAAAGGTGGTAAACTGTTGCCAGAGGCGGAATGTGGCAGATCTCATTTTGCAAGATGGCCAGAACAGTATGTCCCATCCCAGACGCTCTTCTTACAGGGTTCCACATTCCTTCCCATTAAATCCAGGTGGGTTGTGACTGAGGCAGAAGTGGTACTCTGTGACTTCCAAAGTCTAGATTGTAGAAGACGATGCAGCCTCTGTCTGTTCCTCTTGGATGCTTGCTTTTGGAACCTCCAGAACTGTGGGAGATAAAATCACTGTTATTGTATCAAGCCACTAAATTTGGGGGTGATTTGGTTATGCAGCAATAGTTAACTGATACCACTGGAATGGCAAACAAATATGTGAAGAGAGAATTTACTCAACAACTATATTGAGATTTATTCTGTGCCAGGCAGGCAGTCTTCTAGATGGTAGGGAGACAGAACGGACTAAAATCTCTGCCCTCAAGGGGTACACTATTTTGTGGGGGAAATAGACTATAAAAAAGTAAATAATATAGTCTGTTAGATAATGATAAATGTTAAGGAGCAAATGCAAAGAAAGGGAATAGCAAGAAACAGCAAAGGTGGGTGAATGAGTTACAATTTTAAAGGTGGATGAATGAGTTACCATTTTTAAATACTGTGGACTCACGGAGGTAGTATTTGGTAAAGACCTAAAGCAAGTAAGGGAGTGAGTGATCCATGCAGTTATCTGTGGTAAGAGGACTCCATGTAGAGGGAGTAGCAAGACAAGGACCCTAGCAAGGGTGCAGAGCGTGCCTACAGTTCAAGGAGGGCAATGAGGCAAGGACGGTGCAGGAGTTGGAGAAAGGGGAAGGTGTAGGACATGAGGTCAGAGAGATAATGGGGTGGGAACATATTGCCTTCTAGGCAATTGTAAAGACTTCTTTTATTCTGAGGGGATTGAAAAGCCATTGGAAGGTTTTGAGCATGGAAGTGACATGATCTTAGTTAAGTTTTAACAAGATGGTTCCAGCTGCTGTTTTGAGAAAGGAGAACAAAGGAGAAACAGGGAGACCCAGTTATGATGCTATTGCAATAAGCCAGAAGGCTGCTAACAACGACTCAGACCAGTATCAGCAGTGGACCTAGTGAGAGAAGTGGTTCAATTCTGGGTACACTTCGTAGGTAGAGCTGAGAAATTTGTGGACAGACTGGATAGGAAGAGTGCAAAAGAGAAGTCAAAGATGACTCCAAAGTTTTTGGCTGAGTGACTTGGAAGGATGGAGTTGCCATTTACTGTGATGGGGAGACCAGGAGGAACAATTTTAGGGTGAAGAATAAGGAATTAACTTGGGTATCTTCATTCTGAGGGCCTTTTAGACATCTGACATCTGGTGTCTGCAGTGCAGGAGAAAGGTCTGGGCTGGAGATACCAATTTGGGGGTCAACAGTGAGGGGCTAGTAAGGAAAGCCACGAGACTGAAGTTATTTACCCATTTATAATGAAGGTTGAGGGGCTGGCCTGGTGGCGTAGGGGTTAAGTTTGCACGTTTTGCTTTGGTGGCCCAGGGTTCGTGGATTTGGATCCTGGGCTCGGACCTATGCACTGCTCATCAAGCCATGCTGTGGCGGCATCCCACACACAAAGTAGAGTGGCACGGATGTTAGCTCAGTAACAATCTTCCTCAAGCAAAAAGAGGAAGATTGGCAACATATGCTAGCCCAGGCCCAATCTTCCTCATAAAAAACTAAAAAATAAAATGAGGGCTCAGTCTAGAGCTGACACCAAGGCTAAAGCCCCAAAGCCCTTTCCAGAGTGCCATCCTGTGTCTTCATCTCCTTGGGCATTCTGAACTCGGACCATTCTGGAATACTGCTACACAGCAGGATTGGTGAAGGGGTCTCACTCTGAAGCCCATATGGCCTAGATTTGCACGCCAGTTGCACTGCCTGACCTCCTTCATACAGTTGTTGAGGTTAAACGAATTACTACACAGAAGAGTGGCTAGCACACAGAATATGCTCATGAAATGCAAATTATCTACAACCAAGGGGGGCTCCCTTCAGGCCAACGCTAGCTGACACCAACGTCAAGCTGACAGGGCACTGTGGGTGTTTCCTTCAACCAAAAACTTACCTAGTCAGATGGGGCCTATTTATGGCCCCTCAGCACTCCCAACAAAGACACTGAAATTCACTATTTTATGTACCAAACTCAAAGGTTATAAAACCTGAACAAAATAATCTGCTCAGCTATTTTTTTCAAAAGGTATTTTATCCACTCCTTTAAAAAACCCACACAAGTGAGTCACAAAACGAGTAAGAAGTTATTTTAATCATCTTTGTCTCAAGGATCATTTCTCTTCTGTGCATCTGGTCTCCAGAGCCTCCTTCCTATTTGACCATCTTCCTGTATCCAAGACCTACTTTTAAAATATTTTGGAATTTATTTTAATACTTACAATTAACAGATTGAAGGCAATCACAATTTCTATAAAACAGTAACCCTGAGACTCTAAAAACAGAAACATGAAACATCTTCCCCCTAGAGACAGTACAGGCAGGAGACACGCCCTGCCCACCCTGCCCACACAAGGTCCCTGAGAGCTCCGAACTCTGAGTATGCAAACCGACGACTGCACGTGAAGGGATAAAGCAGCATCCTATTACATGCATGGGGACACACGGGGCATGCAGATAATACGACAGAATCTGTGCCTGTGAAGAGTTTATAATCTGGTTGGAGAGCAAGCAATACACATTCATGAGATGGATATACAGATAAAACTAGGCCCAAAACATCGTAATTTCATAGGCATATACATATACAAACTTAGTAAATTAACAGAATTATCTGCATGGTGGGATTGCAGGTGATTTTCATTTTCTTTGTTTGTTTGTTTATTGTCTAAAACTTTTGTTACAAAGAATACAGTATATTTTTTTGGGAAAAAAAGTGGTGTAGTACAGGGGCTGGCCCAGTGACATAGTGGTTGAGTTTGTGCATTCCACTTTGGCAGCCCGCGGTTTGTGGGTTTGTATCCCAGGTGGGGACATATGCACTGCTTGTCAAGCCATGCTGTGGTAGCAGCCTGCATACAAAAAATGGAGGAAGATTAGCACAGATGTTAGCTTAGAGCCAATCTTCCTCACCAAAAAAAAAAAAAAAAAAAAGTTTACAAATGTGCTCAAGATAAGTAGTAGCTGTGGTGGCTAAGGGCATGGGCTCTGGAGCCTGGACACCTATTCTTCCACTAACTGACCAGGTGACCTTGGGCAAGTCACCTAACCTCTCCACAACCCATACCCTCACCTGTTTAAAAAAACAAAGATAACAGTATCGTCTTCTCAGAGGATGAAGCCATAAATGTAAAGGCCTCGGCAGTGTGTGGCACATAGGAAATGCTGTATAAGTGCTCGCTATTATTATTTCATGAGCTGATAGGTACGGTTTTGTAAACTACAGTGGCTAAGAAAATGCTGATGAAATGGGTTGGACTTGAGTAAGAATTTTAAAGGTCAGGGAAAAGATATTTGAGAAAGGGCAACAATTTGAGAATGGAAGAAACTGAATGCGACCAAGCTTAACCCCCTCAAACAAGCAAACAGTGAAATGAGAACCAAATGGAGCATCAAGACGGACACAAATACGAAAGTTTTATTGCAAAAATCGCAGCTCCTAACCGGCCCCAGAAAAGATAATCCAGCATAGGCAAATTCATTGGGCTCTTGTTCTTTACCCACCCCTTTGTTTTCCACAAAAAGAAGAGACTCAAAGAAGATTCCTTCCGAATGTGCATCACCATTTATTGTAGTTTGCGTTAGGAATTGAACAGAGGACATGGTCTGTGGAGGGGGAAAAAAGGAAAAGAAAAGGAAAGTATGTTTTTGTAGACTTAATTTCTTCAAAACACTTTATGGTTTCAAATCCTTTTTTACCCCAAAGGAAATTCAAGAATTCAAGTATGTTAAGTAGGGAGCAGTAATACAAAACGTCTCATGTTTGCGTGCGTGTGTGTGGGTGTGTTTGTGTGTGTTTTTACAAGCAGACATACTTCCACATTTCTTGCACCCCTTTTTTGCTTTGGTAAGGCCAAGCCCCAAAGGACACGTCATACAAATGACCCCTGCCTCGAACTCACAGACCCAAGGGTTGAGGAATTTATTTACCTTCATAGGACAACTGGAAAGGCTCCGAACTGTCACGTGGCATTAGAAACACCAACCCCCCTCCCCGCCAAAACCCTAAGTCACGTAAATCCTGACGTGCTTCAACACCTCCTTTGCTGCCGTCGCTCCTCAGATTCCTAACAGAGGGCCTATTACAAGGACCAGAGCAACAGGATTCTCTTCATTTTGTTTAGAATAAAAAAATTTTAAAGGGACATTTCAAAAGAAAAAAAAAATAAAAAACTGAAATTCAAATTCTGAAAATATCTTGCCTTTTTTATTAATCATGTCATCTAACACCAATTAAAAAAACAAATATGTGAATATGATATAAAAATACGATCCCAGGATTAACACTTCGTCGCAGGCACAGTTATCTCACAGAATATATGTTGGAGGGGCCAGGGATAGGAGTTTATTTTTGTTTTTGCTTCTCTTAAAAAAATCCACAGCAGTGCAAGTAGGGTCAGGAAGAGAGAGGGCGGGAAAAAGATTCTTTAGCAGCAAAATGTCCAAGGTTCTCTAATCACAATCAAATCAACGGATACTGGATTTAGGGAAAAAAAAAAAGATGAAGGGGATGCTGCCCAGACCCACTCGTCATCAATTACTAAGACTTCTGTTGCAAAAGCCCCAAATTGTGACGTATGAAGGACGTGCTTTCTTACACAAGTAATCATAAAATGTGTCCCTCAAGCTTTTGACCAAGTTTGTCACTTAAATATATGTACAGGAAGTGGGCTCTTCTTCGCATTCACGTCCTTGCAGATCTCCGCCGTTTGGTCCCTCCGGGGGGCTCTCGGGGTACACGGCCGCATCTGGCCTCCAACGCTGGAACAGCATTCTCACCACTGACGCTGCATCTGCTTCCTCGCCGGCCTCGGCTGCTTCTGGCAGAGGGCGGGCCAGGGGCACGGTTTAATGATCACTGTTCTGCTTCTCTCTCATCCAGGCATGAATCTGTTCTTTCAGTTCGGGCACTGAGAAAAGAAAAGGAGAGGATTAATGCCCCAGATGGGAGGGCTCTTGGGAGAGATGATGCTTGTAGTTCTGCATAAATGGAAAGAAAAGGCCATTCATTCCCTCCTTAAACTGAAGATGGAAGAAGAAACAGGACGTGGAAAGGAAGGCCTAGACTTCTATAATGAAGAAGAGCAAAGAGTGGTTTCTGTCTTTTCTATTAAATGTCATAAACCATGCAGTTTCTGGACTTGAGAAATGTCCCCCTCTGATCCGTCTCTGCTACACGATTTTGGTTCCACTGCTTGGTACTGACGTAGGCGCTGCAACTCAAGCTTCGCCCTCCTCTACCTGGTTCCAGCATGCTCTCCGTCAGTGTCTGTCGATTGAAGGGGTCCGTGGGGGAGTTCAGCAAGTGTCGCAGGATGATGGAGCGGTCCATGATGGTGCCGGAGGGCAGCCGCACTGGGTCAGTCATCAGGGTGTCCATCAGAGGGTCTAAAGAGACAAAGCAAACTCTAACAATAGAGCCCACAACTGAAAAAGAACACAAAACAAAGCCCCTCCTATCAGTGAAAAATATATCCATAGGAACAGCAATCAAATGGCCCCTACGGGGCCCCCAAGTTTAGAAGGATATGAGCGTCAGATAAAGGCACAGACACTGCCTTTTGTAGAGGGGAAAGTACCCTTTTGTCAGCTACCGCTGGGAGGAAAGAATACAGAAAAAAGAGAGCAGGACAGACAAAGCCGCAGGCCCTCAGGGCTCTGCAGCTAGGACTGCAGGCTAGAATCCTTCATGCCAGGACTTCTCAGAATTCTTTGAAAATTCAAATCCCCACTTGCAAAGGCAAGGCTGACCTTAGAATCTTCAGGGTTATTATCTGGCTTAAAATGAGGCTAAGGACTTTTCCCTTTTAATTTACCATATGAACTAAAAGTAGGCAAATGAAATTTCAGACAGTGTCTCAAAAAGTAACTATATTAAAAAAATGAAAAGCACAGAATATCCTCTTTTAATGTCACATACTTCAAGTTAACTCAAATCAAAGAATTCAGCATGGAAAAGAGGGCCTACTTGCCTCTGAACTCGTCTGGCGCGTCACTGTAGTCGATCTCCGCGCGCGCGTTCTTGGCCACTATCTCCTCCACTTTCTCAGCAAGAAGTTTAAACTTCTCTATTGCTATCGTTGATTTGATGCCTGCTTTCCGCATCTTCGAAATAACTTCTTCAAACAACTCTTTGCTGTAAGATCTCTGCAAATGAGGAAAGACAATGTAAGACAAACATATTTTAAGTGGAAAAACGCAAGCCGCAGAAAATATCCAAAGTATGATTTGGTTTTTTTTTTATGTATATAAAAATACTTTCACATGGCTATAACTACATAAAGACTGGGATAACACACATCAAACTGTACAAGGTCATTACTTTATTCTGGGGACGGCTTCAGGATTGAGACAAACGATGGGAATTTTTAAAGTTTTGAATTATTTTACGGCAAAAATGCATTTCTGTTAAAATTTAATTAAAAAGAGGAGGGGCCGGCCCCGTGGCCGAGTGGTTAAGTTCACATGCTCCACTTCGGAGGCCCAGGGTCTCACCAGTTTGGATCCTGGGCGCGGACATGGCACTGCTCATCAGGCCACGCTGAGGCGTCATCCCACACGCCACAACTAGAATAAACAACTATGTACTGAGGGGGATTTGGGGAGAAAAAGCAAGGGGGAAAAAAACAAGAGAGAAGGAAATGTAGTCTATTTCAGTCCTTGCAAGGCACTGTGTCCTAGCAGTGTATGAGAGGAGCTGGGTGAAAACAAGCCAATATAGTTCATAATCAATAGGAGCTTTCTCCCATTCACTGTCAATCTTTAAGATGTTCCACACTATTAAATGTCGGGTGCTCTGCTGACAGGAGCAGAAGCGATTTATGGCTACAAAAGTAGGAGGGAGGGTGTAGAGGACAGATGAACCTTGACTTGAGTTCTGGCTTTACCATCTACCTGCTGTGTGGTCTCAGGAAATCCCTAACTCTCCCGAGCCCGTTTCCTGAAGTGTAAAATGGGGGTAACAACATCAAAGTCTATCATATTTTGCATTTATGGGAAGAACACTGGCCACTTGTCAAAGCAGAGACAATGATGCAAACCTAGGAGGGGAATGATCAAATCTGAGCCTCTGAAGGACAGGACCATAACCTGTGACCTGTTACTTCCACACAAAGATTCACACTAACATCTTTAGGCTGAATTCATCTCAATCCTGGTCTTCTCTGAGAATGCTGGATTTTGAAATTCCTCAATCTTTCTTCTTTCCTTTTTTACCTTCAGCTTCTACATGAGTGCACATGCTTACCTTCTCTCTCCACACACTCCCACAACCCTTATTATACCCATGCCGCTGAGGGGAAGACAGAGGACAGGGCCCAGCAGCGACAATCCTAAAGCCATCTTTACAACCCTGGAAAGTGCAGAGAGCCTTGCTTATAGTTTTTTGAAACTAAATTACTACATTAATTCAACAAATACTTTATTTGGTGCCTACTTATTATGAGCCAGGTAAGTGGTAGTCTCCATCCCTTTGGGAAAGGGCACAGGGGATAAATGACCAAAAGATGACAGTAAGATGTTAGAGGGGCAAAAATGCACTGGGAATTACTGAACCTTGGGCATTGCTATAGACACTACTGAGAAGATTTCACCTTGAACTTCTCTTTGTAACAAGGAGCCATTCCTAGCCCACTTGTCATCTTCATAAAACATCACCTACTCTATTTCTCAAAAGATGACTTTTAACCAACTGACTTGTGCTTGTAAGTCAACTTCCAAGACAGAGCAGTGCAGTGGGAGCATTATCGGAAATCAAAAAGTTCCTACGAAAAGGGGACGTGGCATTCAGCCTCAAAGAACAGTATCGATGCATCGAACAAATACGTATTACTGAGCGGCTGCTTCAAGTTTGGTGTGGGCGGGTCAGAGGAGAAGCAAAGACGTTCCTGACTTCAAGGATCTGAAAGAGTGGTTACAAAGTTAAACACAAAAATATCTGCAAGTCACTTATCTGAGAAAGGTGTAGTATCTAGAATATGTAAAGAACTCTTATAACTCAACAAAAAACACAAGCTAATTTAAAAAAATGGGCAAAGGACTTGAATAGACATTTCCCCAAAGAAGACGCACAAATGGCCAACAAGCACACAAAGAGGTGTTCAACAGTATTTGCCACTGGGGAAATGCAAATCAAAATCCCATCACCGTGGACACCGCTTTACTCCCACTGGGGTGGCTATTTAAAAAGAAAAAACAAAACAGAAAATAACAAGCGCCGGCGAGGACGTGGAGAAATGGGACCCTTGTACATTGCTGGTGGGAGTACAACAAGGGGCAGCCGCCGCCGAACACAGTTCAGCAGCTCCTCACAAAGTTAAACACAGAACCACCACGTGACTCAGCAATTCCACTTCTAAGTATGTACCCAGGAGAAGGGAAAGAGGTAGCCAAACAAACACCTTTCTATGAATGTTCCTAAGAGTGTTAACTACAATAACCAAAAGGTGGCAACGACCCAGATGTGCACTAATGGGTGACTGGATAAACAAATCATGGTATATCCATGGAACAAAGTATCATGGAGCCGGAAACAAGAATGAGTACGAACACACACTACAACAGGGGTCACCCTTGAAAACATCATGCTACGTGAAAGAAGCCAGTCACAAAAGGTTGGACGCTGTATCATTCTGTTGATGTGAAATGTCCAGAATAGGCAAATAGATACATCTAAAAATAGGTAACATACAGACAGGAATTGGACGAGTGACTGCCAGCGGCTGGGCTGAGTGGGGAATGGACAGTGACTGCTTAATGGACATAGGATTTCTATCTGGAGGACTAGAAAATATTTTGGAACTAAACAGAGGTGACAGCTGCACAACACTGTGAATGTACTAAATGCCACCAAACCGTCCACTTTAAAAGCGCTAATTTTATATTAGGTGGATTTCACCTCCAGAAAAAAAAAAAAGGAAGATTGCACGAGAGAAGGGAGACTTCCGATGGGCTCTTTACCATTTATTTTTTAATGGAACGTGGTGTGAACAGACAGCGCTTCACAAAAGTCACATCTCCAATGCCCCCACAGAGCCGGAGTCCGCCCGCAGAAGCACAGCCGGACGTGGCCACCACGCGGCTCACCGAGTCCCCCTAAGTCCCTCTCCTGGGCCCTCTCAGCTCCAGGGAGAACGGTCCTGCTCCACACCTCCCCAGGCAGGGGCTCGCTCCTCAGGTTTGTGAGTGTAAAGCTCAGCGGCTCTTCGTGCTGCTGCCTTCTGTCAGCTCTCCTGGACACCTGTCTTTAGTCCGCTCTTGGTGCGCACAGAGAGCAGTCTCTCAGTTTCTTGCCTTGCACTGCTGCCTTCTTCTTCTGGCTTTGTCTTCCCAGGGAACAGGACACACCAGAACAAACCAAGACCCCGGTCCCCAAAGGAGAAAATAAAGTTCTGCCACCTCTCCTCTGAAGCTTTCTAGCCTTCCGTCTTCCTCTCCCAGCCCCACAAACCCTCTTCCAGAACAATCAAATCAGCAGGCCCCTAATCAGCTTACAGCCAACACAAACAAAAAATGCCCAAGAACCAAGACAAACACTACAGTGGAAAAGGAAACAAAAAGTCCACTTAAAATCTGTTTTTCTCCACATTGTGTCACTGGCAGTTGTGCATGTTTGCTTCACGGGTCTAAGAGCAGGGCTATTTAGACATTCCAGAAGACCCACGGACCACTGAGTGGAAACTGCTGTCTAGGAATCAAGCCAGGTGCCACAACAGGCCACCACCGCAATCCACAGGCATTACCCGAAGGGGGGACGTTTTGTTGGTCACCAAGAAAGGGAGCTGGAGGCACTCCTTTGTCACCCACTTGGTTTTCACTGCTTCACTGGGTGTGCTGCGGTCATCCACACTGCAAACTTTGTGTTACACTAACCGCTTGCGATGTGGCAGCCACAGCAATACGTGCCAGGAGAAAAGGGAGCACTCCAAATGACTCTTCCAAGTCTCTTAGAGTAAAAATGGAAGAGTCCCTGGGACGTTCCACCCCCGACCTCTTCCAGGCTAGAGAGGCCCAGCTACACTCTGCCTCTGCCGGAGGAAGATGACAACCTCGACTGGGGAGCATTTCCATTGCCTTTCCCTCTCTACACGCTACAACTTATCCTCCATTCTAAATACGTGCAGTATTATATAGCTGTAGGCTAAAAAAGCATTTTAGTATCTCCCCAGAATAACTGCAAACTCCTAACCCCCTCCTTTACCACTACTTTTTATGGAAAAACTGCTTTAGACATACGTGGTTTTATTCATTGCAGGCACTTTGTCAAGACCACACCTCTTGTTTACATCTCAAAGTACCTAGAAATGTGAATTATATCTCAATAAAGCAGTTATTTTTAAAAAAGTAGTCACAATTCCCCTGTTTTAACCCTTGGATGAGATATGAGTAAGGAATCTCCTTGAATGCCTACTGATAGTTAACCTGAGATGTGAATAACATTTGGATAGACAGCATGAACAAAGATGGAGAGACAGAGATGAGCATGGAACTTTTTGGGTGTTTTTTTTTTTCCTGGTGAGGAAGACTGGCCCTGAGCCAACATCTGTTGCCAATCTTATTCTTTCCCCACACCACCCTCCCCGCCGCCCCCAGAAGCCCCAGTACATAGTTGCATATCCTAGTTGTAAGTCCTTCTGGTTCTTCTATGTGAGATGCTACCTCAGCATGGCTTGATGAGCGGTGTGTAGGTCTGCACCCAGGATCTGAACTGGCAAACCCTGGGCCACTGAAGTGGAGCGTGTAAACTTAACCACTATGCCACTGGGCCGGCCCCGTTTTTGGGCATTTTAGGTGGAGAACAGAGAGACTAAGAATATAGGCTCAGGGCTAGACTGCCCGTATATGAATCCTGCCTCCACCCTACACTAACTCTGTGCAAGCTGTTTAACCTCTCTGTGCCTCATTTTATTTTAATTTTTATTTTTTTGCTTTATCTCCCCGAACCCCCCCGTACATAGTTGTATATCTTAGTTGCAGGTCCTTCTAGTTGTGGGATGTGGGATGCCGCCTCAACGTGGCCTGACGAGCAGTGCCATGTCCGTGCCCAGGATCCGAACCCTGGGCCGCTGCAGCGGAGCATGTGAACTTAACCACTCGGCCACGGAGCTGGCCCCTGTGCCTCATTTTAAAATGAGGAATCTAACTAAACCTCTATTACAGGATTTTGTGAGGATCACATGAGTGAAAATAGGAAAAGTGGTTCAAACTTCGTATACAGTTAATAAACATTAACTATCACTATGTTGAAATAATGCAGGACAGAAGAACACGGGGGAGGAGGAAGGCCTCTATGAGAGTATTGGAAAGTCAAACACTGAGGCTGGCAGGGGCAGCCTGGACTAAACTGGCAGCTGTGGAAATGAAAAACAGAAAACTGAGAGGATCAGGAGGGACACAAGGAATAAAGGTGGGGGAAATGTCAAGATAACCAGACAAGGCTTGAAACCTAGAGCCACAAAAGTAACAGCAGCGCTAAAGCAGCGGACTTGGGAAGAAGATCTGGATTCCCTGAGAAAACCTGGGAATGTAATGGGTTTGTCAAGTAAGGCCCTTAGCAGGATGGGTTAAGAACTCAACTAGAGACAGATCGGGGAGGCAAATCTGCTCTTTACCCCCAAAGGAAAACAATCAATTCATCTCCATTTACACCAGACAAGTTCCCCTTGCCACTGTGGTCATTATTTCCATTTACAAATTAAAAACTTCTCAAACCACATTTTGAAAAGTATCACCTTCCCTCATTCCAAGTGGGGAAAATCCAGGGAGAGATGGATACGTAATCGCACAGGGTCTGCCAGGAAATCCAGAGAGAAGCAAACCCAGGTCACCCAGTGGAGCAGCCCGAGCCCCAGCCTCCCTCTGAAACCGCCTGCTCCCTTGGGCACTGACCTGGTCGTCAGCAATGGCTTTAGCAAACCGAGCACAATCCAGCTGCAAGTAAATATCTGTGAGTTGGTCCAGCAGTTTCTTTGGTTCAAAGCCGTATTTCTCAGGGTTTTCAACTTTCAGGTCACGGCACTTGGGACCACAAAGTTGCTGGAGATTAAAGTTCAGCATCGCAGCCAATCGGGGTCCAAGTTCCTAGGAAATCACAGGATAAAGGACAATTCATGCTGTTGAGACAAGCGAGAAGGACCAAAAACTCCCATTTCAGTGGAGGCACAGGAATTGGCAGGATTAATCTTCAAAGAATCCCTTACATGTGCTGTGTATCAGAAGCTGAAGAAGGATATTATATTCAAAATTTTCTTTACTCGCCATCTCTAATCCAGTAATGCTAATATTTAATAGGATGTTGCATTTTGATGGAATACTTATAAATATCAATGAAAGGCAATATTTTCTTTAAATTCATGCTTTCAATTATAAAAACAAGGATCACTCCAAATTTGTTGAGAAACAGATAAACAAGGGGGAGTTATTCTTAATTCCATCATCATAACACAAGTCACAGAAGTTTTAGAGTATGTTCTTTCAGTCATCATTCTGTGCATTATTTTTGTATAAATTTCAGAAGTCCCTGGCAGTTCAGGCAGTGTGCTCTGATGCAAAGAGGGCAGAAATGCGAAAGAAAGAGAGAGAATTTATGTCTTGATTAGTTTTAAGTCTAGCCAGTGAGACAAAGCAAACTTAAATGAAACAACTAAAAAATAATTATCAAATAACATGCAATAACCCCACAAGATGACTCCTCACCTAGTACAGCTGGGCACACAGCACTTTAAGCAGACCTGAGACGGGAAAACCTGGCTTAGATGAGAGAGCGCGAGAGTAAACACCGGCCACAAAAAAGGAGAAGTGAAAGCTTTTCTAAGTAACAAGGTTTTCACTGAATTTAGTGATTGGATTTACACAAACTGAACTCAAACCCTGCTTTTCAAGAACCTGCTTCTACACAACGTAGAGTACTCTTGTATTTAATTCTTAAGAAATTGTGAAATAATGGAGTGATAAGAATAGGATAGAGTTGGTATTTTTTTTTTGAAGTGGGACATTTTGAGCTAGCCAGCAAATCAGTGTAGCAGAGGAAAAGGAAACATCGAAGCAGGCCAGCAAAGACTGAAGGCAGAAGACTACGGCCAGGGGTATAAACAGATCAATGAGAAGGCCTCAGAAAAAAAAAAAAAAAAAAAAGAATTTTGGGGGCCTGCCCAGTGGCGCAGCAGTTAAGTGCACATGTTCTGCTTTGGTGGCCCGGGGTTCAGTGTTTGGATCCCAGGTGTGGACATGGCACTGAATGGCAAAAAAGCCGTGCTGTGGTAGGCATCCCACATATAAAGTAGAGGAAGATGGGCATGGATGTTAGCTCAGGGCCAGTCTTCCTCAGCAAAAAGAGGAGGATTGGCAGCAGTTAGCTCAGGGCTAATCTTCCTCAAAAAAAAAAAAAAAAAAAAAAGAATTTAAATTGACATGAAAACATTAGACTTAGCTTTCAAGAATTTCCTTTATAAAATGAAGAATTTAGAACTAAAAATAGGCTTTATGATAATTTAGTATCAAGTAATTTTTACAGTTTCCTACCTTCTAAAAATCAAATAGCACTGCCATTGGAGCCACTGAACACAAAACGAAACACGGTTTAGTGCAGGGATCGGCAAACTGTTAGCTGCAGGCTAAATCCGGCCTGAGGCCTGTTTTCACCAAGTTTTACTGGGACACAGCCACACTTGCTTGTTTATGTGTTACCTGCGACCGCCTCTGCACTGCAACAGCAAAGTTGAGTAGCTGTGACAGAGACCGTTGGCCCACAATGACTAAACTATTTGCTGTCTGGCCTTTATAGAAAAAGTTTAAAGAACTTCCATTTGCAAACTTTTACGGGAAGCAAGTGTCTGAAATACCTTGTTTAAATTAGTTGCAGTGTCTTATGCTTTCAATGGTGAGCTCTGTTTTGTTTCAGGTTCCACTGCTCTTGTGCTGAAATCTATCTATGAAGAGACAAGGAATGCCAAGGGGAGCGAGGAGACATCTCTGGAGTCGCACACAGGCTGGGCTGTGGTGACCATGTTCCAGGGAAGAGTGAATACGGAAACTGAAGGACACGTGGTAAAATTCCACCCCATTGTAACCTTGTCTCCGTATAGCCAACTAACTACCGAGTCTCAGGCTCCTTGCCTTCTTCACTACCCTCGTCCTAGCCACACCACCACGCTTCTCAACGGTGTGTCGGGCGAGGGAGGCCGAAGCAAAGCGGGGATCTTCAGTTGTCGCTGTTTCAATTTCTGAAACAGGACCCAGGCTTTAGAAATCATGTCAAGGCCAAACATTTTGACTACCTTTGATCTATCATAGACTCAAATTATGGCTCTCATTAACCTTTGCCTTCTTGAGTGTAACAAAGCTACCCCTAAGAGAGCCAGAGATCTTACACATTACCAATTATTTCTACGTAGTATACTCTAACTTCTAACTGATGTTATCTTATACTTCACCTATAAATAAAATATAGGAACCAACACCGATAAAAACATGTCATAGCTTCAACATTAATAATTCAACGTGCTGCCTAAGCAGAAAGTGAATTAAGTTATCTTCGAAGTGACCGCTCGCAGACTTTAGTCTATCAACAGAGCGCTGTGTGTATCAACTAGCATAACCGGGAACAGAATCAGTAACGGAATTTCACTTTCAGTGACCGCAATGCTGAAATGTCCAGGATTTCTACAACTCTATTTAGTTATAAGCGATAGAATCTGAATGTGGAATCCAACAGACAAAAGAAACACCCTGAGTTCTACTCACTGGTCTGAGGAACGGCTTCTGGACCTGCTTCGTGAGGATATGGAACATGTCCACGGTTTCTGTGGCCAGGGCAAGATAGGAGCGCGAAACACGCTCGTCCTGAGCAAGCTGAGACTGACGGGCCTGCTGCTGATCCTACGAGACATTGAACAGAAGCCAAACACATCTCAGGACGGGTCGGCAACTCACCAAAATGCCAAGTGCAGAGAAAAACACAGTCAGCTCATAACTGGAGAAGTGCGTAACAAAGCCAGCATTCTTACAGAATGACCTAACAACTCACACCAGCGAATCTTCCAGATAACTCAAGTTTATTCCTTTCCGCATCAGAACTCTTTAGGACTTTGAATAAGGTGACCGTGGCACATTATTTAACTCACAGGAGACTCAGTTTTCCCAATGATAAAAGAAGTCCCCATCAACGTCTACGCAGGATGAAATAAGCGAATCTTCGTGTCATGCCTAATACACACTGGCACTAATAAAGGAGAGTTCATTTCCCTAAATAACTTTTACTCAGGCAGCATTAGTTTAAAAACATGTGATGTGTTACGCTATGACACTAGGTCTACAGGTTTTGCCCTCACATCAAGCGCCTGTAGACTGCTAAGCTTTTGAAGTTTGTCTTTCCACGCTGTTAGGCTGTCACCCCTTCCAAGTGTCAGACTGCGTGCTTCTGGCACCATCCTCCTCCAATTCTGCCATGGGCTGGGAAACAAGATGAAAAGCTGTATTTGACTTACGGGTAAAATAAAGTAGAACACTGAAGGCTCTGAGATGGATAAAATGCAGGAACATCAGTAAAGACTCAAATCCTCCATCTGCTCAGAGGCCAGTTTACTTTATGTTGGGGGAGGGGAAACAGCTAGAACAGCTGAAATTGCCAAACGAGTGCCCCCTGGGTAAGCGCCTTCTGAGTACGTGCTCGGCGGAGATTCTGCAACAATTCTGCTGGGTGACCTGTCCACTGCCCCTTGGTCAAGAATGCGCCTACTGAATGGAAGGCTGAACCAGGGAAGACACAACAGCAGCAAGGGGGGAACTACCTAAATGTGTGTCTGGGTGTCTCATTTATTCATCGATAAATGTTATCCATCCCCTTCTACAGACCAGCCCCTCCTTCAGGCACTGGAGATAAGAGTACAGAACAAGACCAATAGGGCTCCTCGCCCTCATGGAGCTTAGATTCCACATAGGGAGCCAAGCAATAAACAGACAAACACCCAAACAGATACATAATAAGTCTGATAGTATGAAGAACTAAGCACATAAGGGGAGAGAAACGGTGCGCTGGGGTCAGGGGATGCTATTCTGGAAAGAGTGGTCAGGGAAGGTTTCTCTGAAGAGGCGACATTTAAGCAGATATCTGAAGGAAGTGAGTCAGCAAAAATCTGGGGGAAGACTGCTCCAGGTACAGGGAACAGTAAGTGCAAAGGCCCTCATGGGTCGGTGGAAGGGCAAGGAGGCGAGTGTGGCTGGGCGGAGTGAGTGAAGGGAAAGTGGCGAGGCTGATACTGCAGCGTCCTCTAGGCCACTCTCTAACTCTGGATTTCACCTGGGAAGGGAAGCCGGAAAGGGTTCTGAGCAGAGTGGTGATAAGGAGTGGATTGAGATTTTATCAGGGTGGAGACTGAGATCAAATAGGGGGCTATTACAGTAATAAAGGTAGAAGGTGGCAGTGGCCTGAAGGTGGGGGGAAGAGGTCAGATAATGGATATATTTTAAGGTAGAGCCTAGAGGCACTTGGGGGGGAGGGTGGGGGGAGGAGAGAAAGAGAGAAAGAGAGAGAGAGAGAGATCAAGGAAGACTCCAAGGTGTGAAGCCAGAGCAATTAGTGGAATGCAGCTGTCGTTTAGTGAGATTGGGCAGACTCAGAGAGCAGACCTGGAACAACACCAAGGGTCCAGTTTTAGACAAGTTTGAGATACTTATTAGACCACCAGACAGAAAGACACGTCAACAGCTGGTTTTGTAGGTCTAGGATCAGGAGAGATCTGAGCTGGAGAAGCACATCCTGGAGTCTTCAGAATATAGATTTAAAGCCTCGGAAAAGATGAGATCACCGAACAGTGATTTTCAACTTGGGGCATCAGGTCATGTGTGGGAGTGTTTCTGGTTGCCCAATGACTTAGGGTAGGAGGGTAACATCACTGGCATTAAATGGGGATGAGCAAGAGATGCTAAATGCCCTGCAATGTATGGCGCAGTCTCTCAAAATAAAGAATTATTATGACATAAAATTCCACTATGCTCAAAATACCAACTAGACCCTCACTGAGTGACCACCCTAGAGAGCAAGTGTGGAAAGAGAAGAGGATAAGTCTGAGGGCTGAGCACAGGAGTCCTCCAACGCTTAGAGGGTGGGGAGGTGAGGAGGAGCAGGCAGGCAGGAAGTGGCTTCAAAGTCAAATAGAAATAGCACTTGTTAGGGATTATTTACGCCCTTTCCTATCCATTAACACAGAAAAATCAATATACTTGTTTGGTTGTCTCATAAACAAATGCTATTAAGAACTGACTGTGAACGAGATAATGTGCTATAATCCCTGATATGGGATTACATATTATAATTACATAATACATATAATTATATATAGCACATGTACAATATAAGCTGGTCCAAGATAAGAATCACGAGTGACATAAAGTGGGCACTACAAAAGTGTAGAGAAAGGTGAGACTCTGCAGCTACACTGACTGGGGAAGGCCAACAACGGAGGAGTATTTGGACAAGACCTTACTCAAAGAACAGGCAGGGGGCTGGCCTGGTGGTGTAGCGGTTAAGTTCACGCACTCCGCTTCGGCAGACCAGGGTTTGCTGGTTCGGATCCCAGGTGCAGACCTACACACTGCTTGTCAAGACATGCTGTTGCAGGCATCCCACGTATAAAATAGAGGAAGATGGGCACAGATGTTAGTTCAGGACCAATATTCCCTAGCAAAAAGAGAAGTATTGGCAGTGGATGTTAGCGCAGGGCTAATCTTAAAAAAGAAACAAAACGGGTAGGATTTTAACACATAAGAATAGAAAGTAGAGCATTTTGGACAGGGGATTGTCTCAAGGCAAACGAAACAGTAGGAGCTACACATCCCGAGCACTTTCCGTGGGACGGTCCTGAAGTCTAGGCCATCTTCCGCCTGTCCTCATCAATCTCTGGCAAGGCAGGAATTCTCTCTGATTTATGGGTGAGGAAAGAGAGATTAAGCAACTTTTAATATGTGGCAGTGCTAGTTCTCAAACCCAGGGCCCTGGACTCCAAAGCTGGGGGCTCTTTCACCAGGGTCTCATCTGTTTCCCCAGCACATTCTGAGGGCCTGGGGACTGGTCCAGATGAGTTGACTGACTGCAATGGAAGGTAAGCTTGGCAGGATGTCTCAGAGCCACCCTGGGGAGGCGTGGAGCATCAGGCCTGGGGCTGACTCCATCCTGAGGCAAATGGAGAACAACGGGAGGGAGGTTTTGGAGGCACAGTAACAGGATAGTTTAAGGTGCGTTTAGAAATGAATATGAGGGTAGTGGGCAGGACAGACTGTAGACGATGCCAGTACAGCACCGATGAAAAAGAAGACAACCACTACCCTATCCCAAGAACACAATTAGAGGGGCTCAAGGAGCATGGTGTCATGGACACAGAAGAAATCTGGCATTCATGGAAGCCCCTCGAAGGGTTTAAGTCTGTAGTTTAAGTATGTTGGCTAGAGTAAGATGTAAAATTCTCATCAAAGCTGCAGAAATACTTGAAATGAAAACCCTCCCTAAACGTGTTTCAATACATTACTTTTAAGATACTTTTTGACTCCACAGCATTAGAACCTCAGCAATACTTTCATTTTAAGACTGCTACTGCAAATAGAGAAAAAGTAGTCTTCCCATATCGTACGTGAGAACTCCTTCTGGAAAGCAGGTCTGATTTGGAGACTAACCACATCAGGAACAGAACTGACTAAAACACGAAGTCACCAGCAGCTGTCAAGGGCCTAGAAACTGGCCAGGGAACCATCTAAACGGATGCAGTAAACGTCAGGAGAGGGTAGTATGCTGTCACTGGCACAGCATGAATTTCTTGCAGAATCTGGCAGAACAAGCCTCTTTTCAATTATTAACTGAATATAAAAACCAAGATCAATGGAAAGGAAAAAACTCCCCATGAGAATCCGTGGTTATTTACAGTATTTGTCTAAAGAAGATCATAGGAACAAATCAAATTCTTGTCTAGTAGACAGACTTCTAGAGACTTATTTCCTAGTTACTTTCCTAAATCTTAACGAACATATTCAAACAATAAAAGCTCTTCTCTAAAAAAGCCCTTTAAAATTAAAAAGGTAGATAAAGTTTTCTGGACACATTTTTGAAGACTTCTCAACTCATTTCTGAGCTTTAGGTCAAGTGTTTAAGTTTTCTCCTATCCCCAACCTGGGATATAACTGCATAGAAGCACACAGTGGGAGGTCACAGGTACAGTCATGTATTGTTTAACGACTGGGATATGTTCTGAGAAATGCGTCGTTAGGCGATTTCGTCGTTGTGCAAACCTAGATAGGAGAGCCTACTGTACACCAATGCTATATGGTACTAATCTTATGGGACCACCATCATATATGCAGTCCCTCGTTGACCAAAACATCATTATGCGGCACAAGACTGTACCGACAAGTAATTTAGATCTAAGTCATCAGACCCACAAATGCAGCCCCTGAAGCAGAGCTCTGCCCAGGTCCAAAGGTAGCTTCCCTGCAAAGCTGGGCCAGTATCTGGACTATGGCCTCACCCGGGGCAGCTGGTCCCACTGTTCTTTGTTCTTCATCTCTTCTTGCACTTCGTGGATCCGCTTCAGAGACTCCAGACTTTCGTCGAGCAAAAATGTCGTGTCATTTATCAGCATGTTTATATAGCGAACAAACTGCTTCCCAGAGCTGAAAAGCCAATTACATGGTCCATGGTCATTCATCTCCCTGAAGCAAAACACTACAGCAGATCCCAGAGAAAACGGGCCTCCACCCAACATGCCAACCATCTTGCCCTACAAGACTGTCTACACCTTAGCACAACTCAGGCACTGCAGAGGTGAGGTCAAGGACTACCAAGTCTCTCCTTATAATTTGTTATTCTTTTAAATTAATTGTGATAAGCTCATTGCAGTAGAGTGCTGAAGACACCATGCATGGCTCATAAGAGCCAACTGCTAATATTCTGGAATCTTAGAAGTAGATTCCCTTAGCAGCTTAAATTTGGCAGCAGTGGAAGTATTTACATCCCAGAAAACCAGCAAATGCTGCAATTTTTTTTTTTCCAGAGAGTAGGTTTACCAGCACGCCCCTGGCTCCTTCCCTCAAGGATTTTAAGTAGAGAAAACATTCCTCCAGACTAGAAAAGAAAATATGCTTAAATTCACCAAGATACAAAGAAGACACAAATAATTACCAACATATAAGAGATAAGAGAACTACTGATACAGTTACTCCTCATTATAAAGAAAGACACAGTGAAGAAAAATTAGAAGCTGCAATATTGATGAAGTAGGATATTAACTTATTTTATAAAGCTCGAAGCTTCCAATCTATGGAACCGTCCTGCATAGCACGTTGAATGGAGCACTTGCTGGTGACAGGCATGGCTTCGCCTATCTCTGTTAGACTCTGTAACTGTCAAATTAGCAGAGAAAAGAGGAGCCACGCTTCAGGATCTGCCCCTGTGTAATCAGGGGGTGGGAAGCCCATGCCCAGGGAAGGAAACTCTTATGAACAGGAGTGGGAGGCCTGGATTTCAGGGACATGGGAAGTTCCGGATGAGCGCTCCCAATCAGTACCATGCAGATCACACCACGGGCCTCCCTGGTCTAAGCTTGCGCCAGGCTATTGTTGGAACATAATTCTGACTCTAAGAGCTGTTCGTGGAAACAAAGAATTAACCTAAAGAGTTCACTTTGCAGAAGGCTATAGAACAAGCGGTTATTCCACTGGTAATACGTATACTATTGACTAATAACTCAGTTAACAAGTGACAGCTAGACTTGATCAAAGGTTGCCAAAGATCCAAGTAGATGGGATAAAATTTCTTCCAAAGAATAATTCGAGAGTTCAACATTTTCATCTACCTTTCTTTTTAAAGCACTTTTCTTTTTTAACTAATTTAAATGCAATTACTAATGTCCAGGTTTAAGTAGACGCTGAAACTTCAGGCAAGTGATGAAAAGTCCCTAATCAAGGTTTAGGGCCTTACTCCAAAGAAAGAAGCTTCAAATGACAACCCTAACTTAAGCGCTTCTAAATCTAAAGTCCTCCTACCACTCTTAACTCTGAAGCTTGATAGCATACCCAAGAACACTCCCTCTTTTCAGTCATTCTGACAACTTCACTTAAGACTGTTACCACAGAAACATCAAAAACACTTAACACATGATCTCAGAAGAGTTACAGATTTTTTCTTTACGTATCCCATCCCCAAAGTATCTTGGCAAATCTAAAGTTCAGCAATATCTCAAAAGCACAGACATTTAGATAACCCTGCTTACATTTAGCAGTACCATCTGGAAAACTTAGAGGAGGCTGAGCCCAAGCAAAGAGTCAACAAGAACCCAGCTGTGAAAGCTTTTAAGCAGCCACTTTACCTGTGATTTGCAAGAGAGCACACTGTGACGTTAGGGGCCCAATACTCACTTGAACTCTTCCATAAAGGTGCCATGGTGAGCTATGTTTTGCCAAAGGCTTTTAAAAATGGTGCTAATGTGATAGCGAATGGTGAACTTGTCATAGAACTCGCTGGTGGCTCCAGTATGCTCAACATCTACAGAAGAAAGACAAAGGGATTGAAGGATATATACTTTCTTAACCTTTCTAAAAGCAGTTATTGCTGCTACAATGTTACTGAGTGAATACAAATCTGAAAATTCAGAGTTGAGATAAAAATTCACCTATATCTCACATGTAAGGCAGGAGAGAAATTATGAGGTGGTTTTGAAAACAAAAGTTTCACAATCAAGGTCTGGCAATGACACAGCCAACCAGACAGCTAGAAAATGGCTTGGCATCCTTGAGGCAGCATCAACTCACCAAGGACCAGAAGCTGAATTATCATACCTCCCCCAATTTTAAGTTATTAATTTATAGAAATTCCATAGCACTGTTTTTTTTTTTTGGTGAGGAAGTTTGGCTCTGAGCTAACATCTGTTGCCAATCTTCCTCTTTTTACTTGAGGAAGATTGTCCCTGAGCTAACATCTGTGCCAATCTTCCTCTATTTTGTACGTGAGATGCTGCCACAACATGGCTTGATGAGCGGTGTGTAGGTCTGTGCCTGGGATCCGAACCTGCAAACCATGGGCCACTGAAGCAGAGCACAAAAACTTAATCACTATGCCACTGGGCTGGCCCCATCCACAGCACTTTAAATGAGCATCCCTGAGCAGAAAGAAAATTGGGTTAAATTCTATTAAGGGCCAAGTGCTTATTAAAGTGATTATTACTGTAAATATTAAAGTGTACAACCCGAAAATAAATAAAATAAAGTGGCTAGTATTTTAAATACTTTTGTCTTAGGGACATTTTCAAACATGTACCACAACAGAGAAAAGCAAAGTGAGTCCCCACATACTCATCACTCATTTACCAATTACCAACATCCATGTACCCATTAAAATGGAGCAAAGATCAAACTTAGTTGTCCAAACAACAAATAGCTTCAGCATGAGAAATTCCTGAATTCATGACAAATTTTAAAGAGAGGAAAAACTGTCAGGTAAAGACGATAAGGCTTAAGAAACAGATAAAAAAGTAAAATAAGATGCCGTTTTTCACCTATTAAATTGGCAGACGTTACAAAAATGACAATACTAAGTGCAGATGATGATCTGGGGCAACAAGCACACTATAAATGCAGGTGGGAAAGAATGGTGAAGGTAATCTGACAAAATGTATCACAAGCCATCAATAGGATCATCTCTTTGACTCACCAATTCTATTCATGAAAATACGGACAGATGAACGGATAAAGAAGACGTGCTATACATACAATGGAATGGTATTCAGCCGTAAAGAAGAATGACATCTTGCCATTTGCAACAATATGGATGAACCCTGAGGGTATTATGCTAAGTGAAATAAGTCAGACAGAGAAAGACAAATACTGTCTCATCTCACTTATATGTGGAATCTAAAAACAAAACAAAAAAACCCTACCAACCAAGCAATCAACCAACCAAACACCAAGCTCACAGATACAGAGAACAGACTGGTGGTTGTCAGAGGAAGGGGTTGGGGGCGGGTGAAATGGGTGAAGGGGGTCAAAAAGTACAAACTTCCAGTTATAAAATAAACAAGTCATGGGGACTACAGTGAATAATATTGTACTGCGTATTTGAAAGTTGCTAAGAGTATATCTTAAAAGTTTTCATCACAAGAAAAAAAATTAAACTAGACTTATTGTGGTGATCATTTCACAATGTACACAAATATCAAAGCATTACACTGAACACCTGAAATTAATATGCTATATGTCAATTATACCTCAACAACAACAAAAAGCCAGAATCTCTTTTTGAGTGACTAAAAAACCACCCAAAGAGCCCCCCCATACAGGCATGTTCAAAGACTGATCTCCAAGGATACTTGCTAAAGTATTATTTATATTAGAGAAAAAAATATAATAATCCAAATGCCCAAGAGAGAACACAGAAAAATAATTGTGATACGTTAAGTAAAAACCACAGGTTACCAACAAAATATACAGTTTGGGTCCAATCATATTGGAAAAAAAAAATACACACACACACACATATGTATAATATATAAACTGGAAAAATACAGAGCAAAATGTTAACAAATTCTCTCTTGAACGCAGAGATTATCAATGATTTTTATTTTCTTCTTGGTATTTTCTATATTTCCTAATGAACACATATTTTTTTGTGACTATAAAAAAATAGCTATTTAAAAATAAAAGGAATAAGATAATTAACACCTATCATACAAAGACCTGAAAGCACTTATGTATATCCATTTGGTCAATGTTTCTTTAAGATGAACTAAGTGTCATTTTATTAATTGTATAAAAGTGTGAACTAAAGTGTGAAGAGCCGATTTAGCAGAGTCTACAGGACACAGATCCCGAGGGGCTGACACAAAGCCTCTTATATCCTCAAAATTGCCCATAATACCTATGCCGTATGCCAAACACAGCAGAGGCTAAGTAACCCTACTTAACTTATTCCGCATCAAAATACATCTCTCTTAATGTTTTTTTCCCTTTAAATTCACTCCTAACGTTCCCTCAAAACCGCATCAGCCCAAGCTCAAATTCCTAAGTCCTAGTTCTGAGAGTGAGCCAGCCCTGGGGGTCTAGTGGTTAAGACTCCACGATCTCACTGCTGCAGCCTGGGTTTGTTTTTAGGTCAGGGAACCGCATCAGCCGCCTGTCAGTTGTCCCACTGTGGCAGCTGCGTGTTGCTGTGATGCTGAAAGCTATGCCACTGGTATTTCAAATACCAGCAGGGTCACACATGGTAGACAGGTTTCCGTGGAGCTTCAAGACTAAGACAGACTAGGAAGAAGGACCTGGCCACTCACTTCCCAAAAACTGGCTGTGAAAACCCTATGAATAGCAGCAGAGCACTGTTTGATAGTACGCCAGAAGATGAGAGGACGGCGTAAGAAGACAGGGCAGGGTTCTGCTGTGCTGGACTCAGGGCTGCTAGGAGTCGGGATGGACTCAATGGTACTAACAATAAAGCTCTAAGAGGCCTGGGATAAAAATAAGACCCCTGCAGAGCTCACTACTCTCCTCACTCACTGGGCTCCCACCTTGCAGGTCTTCTTGCCTGATTCATTAAGCTGCCACAGGCCACAGGGCCTTTACACTTGCTGCCCCCTTCCTACTGCCTTGTGGCCTACCACCTTGAGATCTTCTTATGGTTCACTCTTTTGTCTCATTTTCAGTGTTATTCCAAAGTCATCTCCTCAGAGATTTTCCCTGACGACACACGTGTCTTAAAGTAGCACCATGCCCTCCTCCCACGCTCACTGTGTGAAAGTATCTTATTTATGGGTCTGGTGTCTGTCTCCCAACGAGAACGCCTGACCAGGAGGGCAGGGATTTTGGTATCTTCACCGCTGGGCCCCAGCATCAAAAGCAGTGCTGACACACAGTAGGAGCTTCACAATTATTTGTTGAATTAGTGACTGAATCTACTTGGGCTAAGGCTGGCTTGGCTGAGTCAGATCAGCTCGGGGAAGAGGAGTCTTGAAATAAGTCTTGGTTATCAGTGTTCTCCCAAGTTCTGACAGCTGGTCCTTAAGGATCTGACTGCTGTGACACAAATAAAACACTCTTATTTTGAAACTTAATTTTATGTTTGAAACAAAAATTGGATCTTGAGAATTTTCTAAGCTACAATACTCTTTGAGGGTGGAAAAGAGGAGCTTGTTCCAGACACCCATCTCTACTTCACGTCTGAGAGTCAGACACGTTCAAGAGTCAGGACTGAGCACGGATTCGACGGACATGTGGGGAGTGTCTGTGACGCCCCCCTGCAGGGGCCTCTCGGCGCCGGGCCCTTGGTAACGGGAGGAGGAACAGCGCAGCCCTCAGGAGCACCTGTGCTCAAGTCCAACTGCTGAGGTTGCTGCCCCTTGCTAGCTGCTGACCTTCAGCAAGCTTCTTGACCTTCCTAAGCTCCAGTTTCCTCATTTGTAAAATGGAGATATTTATAGCACCCATCTTGAGGACTCCTGTGCGGATTAAGTGAAAGGATTAGTAAGTATTCAGTAAGTGGTGGCTATTATTAGCTCGGGTATCATCTCTCCATGACTACAGAGGTGGTCCAGGGCCAGAGGGCACACTGCTTGGTGGCAAAGGGGAAACAGAGAACAACACCCACCCCTGGCTCCTGGGACCTTACCCGCCAGGCCCCACTGGGCTCAGCCCCATTCCACACGCCTACACACACCCCTGTCCTTCATCCTGGAGCCACAGTGACCCGCCCAGGGCACCAACTGAGTACAAAATGCGTTTCAGTAAACATTTTTTGTTTTTAACAGTAACAATACATGTTTACTGTAGAATAATTAAGAAGTTCAAATAATTTTGAAAAAAGAAATTAAACTGTTCACAATTCTACCATTCAAAAACAACCAACTCACTGTTAATACTTTGGTGTATATTCTTCTATACCTTTTTCTATCACATGTGTATTACCAAAATGTAGTCATACTTTAAATATTGTTTCATTACTTGGCATTTTTTTTAACTTTTTATTACTAAACCACTTAATGTAAATAACACACTATTTTTCATGGCTCATATAGATCCCCTGTATGGACAAACTATAATTTACCTAATTTATCCACAGTTGGCAGAAATTTAAGTTGTTTTAAATATTTTCACCACACTCATTATAAACAATGCTGTGGTGAATACTGTAATAAACATTTATATACATTTATAATTATTCCCATACAATAGATCACTAGAAATTAAGTTTAGATGTAAGAGGGCTTGTTGGTCATTTAGCTGCTGTCTCTCAGCCCCAAATCCACTTTCTATACTTGGCTTTGGGGATGCTGTGGCTGGGACCCTGTTTGCCAGCAAGCCCTGTTAGGTTTGCCAACAGGGGGTGCTGCAGAACTGGAAACAGGAGGGAGAAGGGCCTTGGACCTCTGGTTGGTTTGCTGCTCCTGTCAGCGAGGATTCTCTGGCCCAGCAGCAGCAGCTGGTTCCAGTTCCTAGCTTGGTTCCACACTCGCAGGACAAGCAACCTTGCTTGACCTCAGAGACACCAGCACCAGCTGGCCAGTGTCCTTCCCCAGAGACCTGGGTCCCAGTTCTATCCAAGTCCTTATTTGAGCTGCTAGATTCCAATAACCCCAGCCTCCTCCCCTGGACCCCCAGCCCCAGGGACAGGTGATAGCTGCTTCCCACACCTATAATCTGTGTTACCCAATGTTCCTACTTGCATTTTCTGTCTTCCAATACCTATCTGACAAGCTCCTTATATTAAATTCTCTCTACTAAAATAACTGGCATGTTTCTGTTTTCCTGACTAGACCTTGATTGATATACAGGATATAAAAAACTTTAAGGCTTTTAGGTACGGACTGCCAAACTGCCTTCTAGGAAGGCTTTATCAATTTACATTCTCACAGAGTTTCATAGCACTACTTCTGCACCAAGATCTACAGGGGGATGAAATAGGCTTTTGCAGGTTAGTTTATTTCTCTACAACCATGTCAGCAGTAGGTATTCTCATCTTAAAAGTGAGTCTGACAGGAGAAAAGAGGTACCCTCACCACTATTTTAAGAAATGCAGAATTATCTGCAGTTTAACTATGCCTGATATGTGCAAGGCACCATATATATAATGCACCATTGGTACCTGAATGACAGATGGTTATTCACTACTAGAGCTAAAAGAGAAAAGAGGAGAACTGGGGAGCCAAGAAGGGGCCTTTGAGCCAGGAGTGTTCTCTGCTGTTGCCAAAGTGAGGATGTTAACAAAACTTCAAAGGGCTTATGTACTTGCTTTAGGTTTAAGAGGATATAGGTAGGCTAAGGGAAGGAGAGAAAACTCTTAGAAGATGCCACAAAATAATAGTGACAAAAGAAAAAGAAGGTAGACAGAGTCCTGGACCCCCTAAAAGTGAAGAGAGAGATGACAGCACCAGCCTGAAACGAGCAGGAGCAGGTCTTGACTGACAGGGAAGGGATGGCTGTCACGGAGCACAGACGGATCCCCAAACTGCTGTTGCTGCTGTGAACAGCAAGGGAAGGTGCTCCGGGCGGCCAGTGCCTCTTCCAAGGGCTCAACGAGCACAGTCTACTAGATGTCAGACACTTACTGTGGGCCCAGAAGGTACCAGGTTCAACAGAAGACAAGACAGACGAGACACACCTCCTTTCCTGAGAAATATATACAAAAGAGGGAAAATGTTCCATTTGCACAATCCTGTGCCTTCCGTAGAGGACAGGTGAATAGGCCCCATAGGTAATCAGCTTTATGAAAACACATTCGCAGTTCAAAAGCCAAATTAAAAAAAAAAATGAAAACTTGGAATATAATTCAACAAGAAGAGGAAGAGCTCCTTGCAGAGTGTGTAATGTGTTTTCAGAGCCTGGCAAATAGTAGGCACTCAATAAATGGGTAGAATTAGTGAATGAGTGCAGACTCCCAGAGATCCTGAGTCCACTGGTTTGAGGGGGGGGGGCCCCAAAACAAGCATTTTTAACAAGCTCCCTGTTTTACCCACAGTTTTGAAACTCTGGGTTAGTAAGGTGGTGTGAAACTAATGCCGTAAGTTCAAAGTTAAAATGAACCAGCCCTGATGGCCTAGTGGTTAAAGTTCGGCACACTCCGCTTTGGTGGCCCAGGTTTGGTTTCCCCAGGTGTGTAACCACATCACTCATCCGTCAGCAGCCATGCTGTGGTGGCGGCTCACATAGAAGAACCAGAAGGACCTACAACTAGAACATACAACTCTGTACTGGGGCTTTGGGGAGGAAAAGAAAAAAAAGAGGAAGATTGGCAACAGATGTTAGCTCAGGGCGAATCTTTCCCAGCAAAATGAATGAGGTAATTTCAGTTAAAAACATCAAGTTGTGCTGCTGATATCAAGTGGATCTCAGTATTACCAATCTGACTTTCAACGGATCCTGCTGAATCACCAGGGACCAGTATGTAGAATGGTCAATGTAATATTTCCACAACTCAGGAAAAATAACCAACAGTACATGCTCTGTTGGCAGTTGGTTAGTAGGTTATACTTATAAGTGGACATCAGGGGGCCGCCTCAGTGGTGTAGTGGGTAAGTTCACAAGCCCAGAGTTTGCAGGTTCAGATCCCAGGCGTGTACCTACATATCGCTCATCAAACCATGCTGTGGTGGCAAAATAGAGGAAGACTGGCACAGATGTTAGCTCAGTCACAATCTTCCTCAAGCAAAAAGAAGAAGACTGGCAACAGATGTTAGCTCAGTCACAATCTTCCTCACCAAAAAAAAAGAAAGAAAGAAAAAGAAAAAAAGTGGACTTCAGGATTTTAGGTAACAGTTTAGAGTAACTTTATCCACTGGCTTTAGACAACCTTGCCCACCTGTGTACCCAGGAACCTACCTGTATAAAACTTCATCAGGGAAGGGACCAACAATTTGGTGGAGAGAGGATGGTTCTCAATCATTTCGAAAAACTTCTGGGTTCGTGGCTGAACAGCAGGATTGGTCATAAACATGACTTCTACCAGTTTGGCCACGAGATACGGATTTCGGATGTAGTTCTGGTTACACAACATCACAACGAGGAACATCACAATATCCTGAGTACAGGGCTCATAAAGCACCTGAGGAGAGTATCTGAAGAGGCGAGAAGAGCAGGAAATAAAGCTCTGAGAAACTCAACTTGGGGGGATGCTGGTGTCATTAGTGGGAAAGGGGACAAACAGGTCTAGGAGCCAGGATACTAAATTCCCTTTAACTTGCTGAGTTTAAAGGGACTGTTTACATCATAACTAGATAAATTTAAAACCTATTGCATCTATTGGCCATAACATGCTATATTTTAGAAAGTAAAGCAAAGCTTTGATTCAATCATAAAGTGAATTTCACATAAGATCTTCACTACCAAAAAGACTTAAAAATTTTTGATGGAGTTGTTTTAATTTAAAAACAATCTCAAGTATCAGTAAAACTCAAACCATTTCTTTGTAAGCTCTCTCCAATTTTACAATTGAGAAAAATTTTGGTACAAAATATAGACGTGGGTATTTTTGGCTTTTGAATGTTCACGCAGATATTTATAAACTGTTTGCTCCTTCTGTTTCTCAGAAACACATACTCGATTATTAGAAATCCAGCTCAATTTTCACAGAATACATATTATCAGCATTGTTAATCCTGCTTCTGTCTTTGAGATATTATTGGAATTGGCGTGGTGCCACAGTTGGGTTTATTTTTCCGGTCTCCAGGCAGCATTCTGTTAAAGCAGTTGTATAAAATTCCATGAATAAAATGGAGGTTTGTGATACAGTTTATAATATAATGCACATATTACATATAAAAATATATTAGGACTGTGCAATATGTTAAAGGTACTTACTGTACAATAAAAAATAAAAATTCAGCAACATCTTCTACATAAAACTCAGGCAATGCTGCAAATACCTTAGGGACGTCTGAATTTAAAGGCAGTGTTACACTGTCAAAGAGAAGAAAAGCACAAGTCACAAAACACTGTTATGGCACATCAAACTACAAGAAATATGGCACTACCATTCCAAATAAGCACTTTATTTGGGGAAAAACCTCACCCTATAAAACAACTATGAAAAAGTACACAGGCAAAGAAACCACAACCAAAAATGAACAGGGAATAGTGAATTCAGCAGATATGCTAGGGTGTGTGTGAAATGTTTTCCCTTCCTTGATTTCCTGTTAAGGCTAATAAAATGGGAAGGAAATAAAAGGGTCATATTTGGTCATTTTATGCAACTCAAACAGTTTGAGACAACAGAGCTCCACATATACTTTAAATACTTTCCACTCCTGCAGAAGGCTTGGGCCAACCCCACCAACATCGTGATCCAGAGACTTCATAATCACAATAAAATAATAATAATAATAATAAATAAAATAAAAATGGCTGCCTGGAGGAGACATGCAGTTGATGATGGAGATCAACAACGTTCCCAGCTCCTTCTCCGAATTGGCTAAGTATCTTCCTGGACCCCATGCTCAGGAGGACCTAATATCCAGTTATCTCCACCTTTCAGGTTCCCATTTATAGCTTTCCTTTTCTATCAATCAAAGATTTTATAGCCGATTTTTAAAAAGTACTATGTCAAAATTAAAACAACAGTGTTGATGTTCCCTCATTACTGTAACTAATTACAGGGAAAATATTAAAAGTACTAATTTCATAGTGTCCATAAGTACAATCTGGAAATTTAAAAATGAATTCTTGATAAAGTAAGGGTTTTGGTTTTAGTTATCAACTTTGAAGAACCATAAAGACAACGCAGCCCAGACGAGTAGAGACAACGAGGTGAAGCGGAAAGAACACACTCACTCGGGGTAGGCAGGGTCCAGGATGCGGAGCAGCAGCTGAATGAGAAGGCCATAAAAATTCAGACATCTTCTCAGGAAGCTCTCGTCAAGTAAACCAGCGTCAGCACAGGCCTTGCATCGTACCAGTTTCTGTGGAAGTAGGTATGTCCCCACCCAAGGTTAGTCGGCAGCTGAGTACCTGCGGTGTGACCGGGCAGGGGATGGGCCAGGAGCTGGAAGTCTAGGTTCTAGGGCTCGAGAGCTTCACCTCTAACTAGCTCTAAGATGCTGGTCATGTGTCAAGAGCTTTCTTTGTTCTAAGAAAAACAAAAGTGATGCCATGCAAACCACGGGGCACCAAGCCCAGCACACAGTTAGTGCTCAGAGGCAGGTTATTACCGTCCTTTTTAAATAACTTGACTGGGAAGGGGGTTGCCAGGGGAGGCCCTTTGGGGCTCAGGGGTAGTTAGTGGGAAAAAGCCAGACAAATCTGCATCGGAATTCTGGGTCACAACGTAGGAGATGCCCTTGGGCAAAATGCTTGTCCACTAAGGATCTAACACCGATCTCAGAGGATGGCTGTGAGAATTAAACACACACACGCGCACACAGTGACATATACATTTAAACAGTTTACAGACTCCTTGAAACAGACCCATGGAGTAGTTAGGGGGTGTACAGACCTCAAGTAAGAGCCCCTGGTTTACTCTGCATTTTGAAGAGGTCTAGTATATTAGTAAATAAAACTGAAATCTTAACTTGTACCAGAAATCTAAGTCAGGTAAAATTCCCATATATCATCTTACTGATCAACAGAAAACACTATCAGCTAACATTCAGCTTTATAATTTGAAGATAAACCTAAGAAAAATGCATACATTTGCTATCTGTGCTTCCCTTGTTCAACTTCAGAAAGCATTTGTTTCTCTCTCTCTTTTTTTTTTTGGTGAGGAAGATTGGCCCTGAGCTAACAACTGTTGTAAATCTTCCTCTTTTTGCTTGAGGAAGATTGTCGCTGATTTAACATCTGTGCCAACCCTCCTCCACTTTGTATGTGGGATGCTGCCACAGCATGGTTTGATGAGCAGTGTGTAGGTCCACGCCTGGGATCTGAACCCACAAACCCCAGACTGCTGAAGCAGAGTGCGTGAACTTTACCACTAATGCCACCGGGCCGGCCCCCGCATTTGTTTTTAGCTATGTCTCATAAGCAGAAATCTTCCCATCTATAGTTAGGTTCTGTGAGATGGATCATTTTCAACTAAAAATGAAGAGTGAGGAACACAGGAAAGAGATTTTTCTACTACCACAAACCTACTTTTTTTTTTTTTTTAAACAACTGTTGCTAGTCTTCTTTTTTTTTCCTTCTTCTTCTCCCCAAACCCCCCCAGTACATAGGTGTATATTCTGGCTGTGAGTGCCTCTGGTTGTGCCCACAAATCTACTTTGTCAAACATCACAAAAATGCATGGCTGTATATACTGGAGTGTGTATGTTTTGGGGTGCAGGGTTGGGGGGTAGCAGTTGGGGAAGATCTTGCACCAGGTAAGGTGATGTTAAACTGTGGATGAAAAAATCCATTAAGAATGCATGTTATCACTGGCATAAAATATATGCATATCCTGTCTTGAGAATTAAATATTCTATATAGATACATGCAAAGTATCAACAAGTTTTTAAATGTATCATTGTATTTTGGGGGAAAAGAACAATGAAGAGAAAAATAAGGACACTAAACTGCTCGCTCAAGGCACTTACTCCCGCGGGAACATCACTGTTAATCCCAGTTAACGGCACAGACCTTAAGCTGAGTCTTGCAGCGCTTCAGCATTTCGCGGTGTCTAGTTGCCAGTGGGGAATCTTTCCATTGGCTTTCATTATTTTTCAAATCTTCCACAGTTCTGAAATCAAAGGCTAACAGTCAAATAAAAGAAAACACACAGACACATCATCCATCTCATCTATTCATTTTGACCATTTCATTGACTCTCAGACACACATTCCCCCCCACCCCATTTTAGCACCAGTAAAATCATTACAATCAATGGCAAGTTATGTTCTAATTGGCAGCACTTTCCTTTCTTATTGGTTCCTAAAATAATGATGTCTTAAAATTGATGGCACTTTAGATTTGATGAAATGTAGTAATCTCTTTTGGAAGGAAATACATTGTTCCCTGATTTTTCTGGGAGGGAGAAAAAGAAGTCTCATGAAAATTCAAGGTTACTATGCCTACTCAATTACCCAAAACAACAGGCTACTTCACTGGTGGCATTTCCTTCTCTTCTTTTACAATCTTTCCCTCTGTTTGGAATGCTCTTCCCTGGGATTGTCTTTGCAGCTTCTTCCTTCACTCCCTTCAGGAATCTGCTCAAATACGACCCCGCAGCGAGGTGAAGTCTTCCCTGATGACGTAATATGCTGTGTATTTTAAAGACGGGCTCACTTAACACTATTTCAACCCCTTGCTACCAAGACATTGTGTAGAAAACTAGAGGGTGATAAATTTGTTAAAACTACATTTCCCAGATTCCCTTGCTGCTAGCATTTCCGCACATGACCTAGCTTCCACCAAGAGGTGAACCCGCGCTGAAGGCAGAAGCGAATACTGTGAAGTGGCAGGCTCTGGAAGCAGCGGTGGAGGGGTTTTGCCTGAAGTGGTGGCAGAGGCTCTACTGTCCAGGTGAACCCTGAAGCAGCTTCCTGCCAGCCCAGGTTCCAAGGAGAGCTCTGGGAGTCCTCTTTTCCAGCCATTCCAATGATTCAATAGACCCAACAGTAACCTTTAATACTCTTCTTTCTGCTTATCCCACATAAATTGGATTCTTTTATCTACAACTAGAACATAAGCACGGTAGACACAATAATACCCGCCCCCCAATCCCCCCGCTCCATGTCACTACTAATCCTCAAAATCTGTGAATATGTTATCTTACACAGCAAAGGGGACTATGCAGATGTGATTAAAGGTATGGACCTCAAGATGGGGAGGTTATCCTGGATTGTCTGGGTGGGCCCAATATCATCACTGTCCTTCTAAGAGAAAGGGGGAGTCAGAGTAAGACAAGGAAATGTGACAACTGAAGCAGAGGTCAGAGAGACGGAGAAAGGAAGATGCTATGCTGTTGGTTTTGAAAATGGAGGAAGGGAGCCATGAGCTGAGGAACGCAGGCAGTCTCTAGCAGCTGGAAAAGGCAAGGGAAGAGATTCTTCCCTAGAGCCTCCAGAAGGCGTGCGGGCTTAATTTGAGGACTCCTGACCTCCAGAACTGTAAGGTAATAATTTATGTTGTTTTAAGTCACAAAGGTTGTGGCAATCTATTGCAACAGAAAGAGGAAACTAATATAAAGACCTATATGCTTATTGGCACCACAAGAGGCTCCAGGCAACAGCCTTCAGGAAAAATGGGCCTCTGAGACTAGTTCTTTGATGGGGCTGGCTTGAAAGTGGTAAAGACTCAGTTATCATGTGAGCACAGAACACTGGTAGCCCAAGGTTCTCAGTGGAAAAACAGTTGCATAAATGATCACGAGCAATCTCCTGGAATGAAGAGATGGAGCAGCTACTTCTAACCAGCCTAGAGAGCTTACAGAATAAAATGACAGGTGCAAGATTTGGAAATCTCACCTCAAAGAAAAGTCAATGAGCCAGGGAGGGTCTAAGATGACCACAGAGTAGAGTCTGGTTCTACAAAGCACCAAATTATAACACAGACGGAATTCATATCCTTACTGGGTCTCTTATCTGAAAGTCAGAGCAAGACTGGGACTCCAAGAATGCAAATGGAGGACTGTGGGAGGATTTGATGACTCCAAGGCCCCACATCCCTAGAGCCCTGAGCCTTGCTTGCTAACAGACGCGGCTCCCGCAAGGAGTGCACCTGAGGTGGTTATGCTGCAGAGTGACGCCCATTTCCCTTAGCTTCCAACTAGCATTCCTCCTTGCCTCTAGGACCACAGGTAGAGTGAGATCAGTGACTATGTTTATGGCTCAATTACAAAGTCGCATGCAGGAGAAGCACACATATGAAGGAAAAAAGGGTAAGATTTGCTAATGTGTTATATTAGTTTCTTGCTGCTGCTGTAACAAACTATCACAAACTGAGTGGCTTGAAACAACACAATTACAGACAGAGTTCTGGAGGTCAGAAGTCTAAAATGGTTCAGCGTGGATACATTCCTTCTGGAGGCTCCAGGGGAGAGGTCACCCACATTCCTTGGCTCGTGGACCCACGTCACTGACATCTGCTTCTGTCATCAAATTTCCTTCTCTGACTTTCACCTTCCTGCCTCCCTCTTATTAGGATCCTTGTGATACACTGGCTCCACCTAGATAATCCAGGAAAATCTCCCCATCTCAAGAGCCTAAACTTAATCCCATCTGCAAAGTCTCTTTTACCATGTAAAGGTAACATATTCACAGGTTCTGGGGACTAGGATGTGGATATCTTTGAGACATCATCATTCTATCTACTATGTATGTAGTGACAGAAACATGGGAGTACGTGTGGGAACGGATTCTGAAGATGCTTGATCAGCAAGAGAGGAACATGCTAACATATTTCTATGTAGGGCTAAATTCATTGACATGACTACACCTACCAGAGATTCTGGATTCAACATTATCCTGAGTAGCTAGGAGGGATTCTCATTGTGTGCCCAGCTAATTGACTGAAACTTGGAATGGACAGTGACCTACTCTGAACAAAGCTGAGTTGTCAGGAATTCCTTGATATAATTCAGAGGAAGGAATCCAAAATTTAAGAAGCTGGGAGTATTAATAAAGATTTATCATACATGACTAGCTCAGATAACCACCCTCTCAAAACACCCCCCCCCTCAAGAATGTCCTAGAGGACACATCTTGTATCACAACATTGAAAAATACACAGGCCAGGGGAACATCAACATCTCTGAAAAGCACAATGGTGACTCCACTGCAGGCTCTGAGTGAAGGTGGCAGATGGCATCATTGAAATGTATCCCCCAAAGTCAGTGGGACTGAAGGGACCCCTGGATGGCATCCATTCCAGGAGGAAGAAACAGACAAATCCACAATCATAGTGTGAAATTTTTATAAGCCTCTCTCAATAACTGATTTTATAAGCTGATAAAATCAGCAGATATAAAGAAAATTCAAACAAAACATGAACAAACTGAACTTAATCGATATATATGAAACAGTGCAATAAACAATACAGAAAGCACATTCTTTTCAGGCCTATATGGAACATTTACTAATGTAAATGTTAGGTGATAAAGTAAACCTCAAGAAAGTTGAAAGGACACAAATCAGCATATGTCTTCTGGCCACAAAAGAATTTAGCTTGAAATCAATAACAAAAGAAAATGGACAAATTCCCCAAGAATCCGGAATTTAAACAATATATTTTTATATAACTCACAGGTCAAACAAGAAATAATAAAAATTAGAAAATGTATTGAACTGAACAATAAAATATCACATACTAAAAGGTGCTCAACATGACTAATCACCAGGGAAACGCAAATCAAAAGCAAAATGAGATATCACCTCACACCAGTGGGAATGGCTATTATCAAAAAGACAGGAAACAGGGGCCAGCCCCATGGCAGAGTGGTTGAGTTCATGTGCTCTGCTTTGGCGGCCCAGGGCTTTGCTGGTTCGGATCCTGGGCGCAGACAGAGCAGTGCCCATGAAGCCATGCTGAGGCAGCGCCCCACATGGCAAAACCAAAAGGATCTACAACTAGAATATATAACTATGTACCAGGGGGCTTTGGGGAGAAGACGACAAAGAAGAAGAAGAAGAAGAAGAAAAAAAAAAAGACTGGCAACAGATGTTAGCTCAGGTGCCAATCTTTAAAAGAGAGAAAAAGGGGGGTGGGGTGGGAGAAGGGCACAAAAGGTGAAGTGGTGCACCTACAAGATGACTAACAATAACATACAACTGAAATTTCACAAGGTTGTAACTACCATAATCTTAATAAAAAGTAAAAAAAAAAAAGAAAAAAGACAAGAAATAACAAACGTCAGCAAGGATGCAGAAGAAAAGGGAATCCTTGTGCACTGCTGGTGGGATCTAAATTGGTACAACCACTGTGGAAAACAGTATGGAGGTTCTCAAAAAATTAAAATTAGAACTACTTCATGATTGAGCAATTCCACTTCCTGGGTATTTATCTGAAGAAAATAAAAACACTCATTTGAAAAAATATATGCACCCCTATGTTCACTGTAGCATTATTTACAATAGCCTAGACACAGAAACAACCTAAGTGTCCATCGACAGATGAGTGGATAAAGAAATGTGGTATATATACACAATGGAATATTATTCAGCCTTAAAAAGGGAATGAAATTTTGCCGTTTGCAATAACATGGATGGACCTTGAGGGCATTGCATTAAGTGAAGGAAGTCAGACAGAGAAAGACAAACACCATACGATCTCACTTATATGTGGAAGCTTAAAAAAAATCCAAAAACAAAAACTGAGCTCATAGATACAGAGACGACATTGGTGATTGCCAGAGGTGGTGGGTGAGGGGTGGGTCAAATGGCTGAGGGGGGTCAAGAGCACATATTTCCAGTTATAAAATAAATAAGTCAAGGGGATGCGATATACAGCATGGTGACTGTAGTGAATAATACTGTACTGCATATTTAAAAGTTGATAAGAGTAGATCCTAAAAGTTCTCATCACAAGAAAAAAAAAACAACCGTATGTATGGTGATGGATGTTAACTAGAGTTATTGTGGTGATGATTTCACAATATATACAAATATTGAATCATTACACTGTGCACTTGAAATACAATGTTCTATGTCAATTACATCTCAAAACTAAAACTGACATACGAAAAATGAGGGATGCAGCTAAAGCATGCTTAGAGGGAAACTGAACAGCCTTAAATACATATACAGTCAACCCTTGGTATCCGCACTGGTTCCAGGACCCCCCTCAGATACCAAAATTAGAGGCGGCTCATATCCGTGGATGAGGAACCCACAGATACCGAGGGGTGACTGTAGAAGAAAGGACTGAAAATAAATGATTTAAGTATCAATCTCAAGAGTCAATAGAAACATCCACAAAAAAGCAAATTAAACTAAAAGAAAGTAGAAGGAAATAATAAGGACCCTACAGATATTAAAATGATAAAAAGAGGATATTATGAACAAATTCATGCCTAGCAATTTTGAAACTTTAGATATCATGGGAAAACTGACACAAGATGAAATGAAAATATAAATAGTCCTATATCTATTAATTGAATAAAATACATAATTTTAAAAACCTTTCCACATAGAAAACTCTAAGCCCAGAGTTCATTCATCAATGAACGTTTCCAACGTTTAAGGAAGAAATAACATACTTCTTATATAATAAACTCTTCCAAAGAATATAAAAAGAGAGAAGACAATCCATTCCATATGGGAAGCATAAAGTTGATACCAAAATCTGGGAAGGACTTAACAAGAAATGAAAATTATAGGTCAGCCTTTCAAATCCTAAAGGGTATTAACAAATTGAATATCCAGTGAGATATAAAAGAAATAATATAAAAGTTGAGTTTATTCCAAGAATGAAAGGTTGGTTTGATATCAGAAAACCAATTGATACAATTCAACCACATTAACAGAATAAAGGAAGAAATGAATATCTGATCTCCTCAACAGAAATGGAAAAAGTATTTAAAAAAATTTGACTCCTGTTAAAAATAAAAAACTTTTAGGGGGTGGCCCCGTGGCACAAGTTAAGTTTGTGTGCTCTGCTTCGGCAGCCCAGGGTTTCTCCAGTTTGGATCCTGGGCGCGGACAAGGCACTGCTCCTTGGGCTGTGCTGAGGCACTGTCCCACATAGCACAACCAGAGGCTCTCACAACTAGAATATACCACTATGTACCAGGGGGCTTTGGGGAGAAGAAAAAATTAAAAAAAAAAAAAAAAAAGAATGATTGGCAACAGATGTTAGCTCAGGAGCCAATCTTTAAAAATAAAAATTAGAAAACTAGAAATAAAAGGGAATTTCCTTAATCTGACAACAGAGGATATACAAAAAATCTTTCCCCCATTACTTGGAATAAGAGAGAAATTTCAAGGTTATTTCCACTCAAGATTGTAGTAGAAATTATGGCCAGGGCACTAAGGCATGAACAAAAAAGCATATGAAAGAAAGAAACTCATCATTTACAGATAACATGATTATGTGTAGAAAGAAAATCTTAAAGAATCTACAGAGTAACTATTAGGATTAATTAGTGATTTTAGCAATGTAGATATAGATATAGAATTATAGATATGACACACTTTCTGTCATAACCAGACTATATTGGTCCTGGACTAAATGGTGGAAGTGGCCATTCTATTACTATTCCAGATGACCTGTTCAAAAAAATGTTCGCATCCTACTCCTGTGACTTTTGTTTGTTTAGAGGTGCTGGTACATGGGGAGAAATCCTTAGATTAAGAAAAACAACAACGGTGTTAATTAATTGGAAATTGAGGCTACTACATGTGGCCATTTTGGACTCCGTATGCCACAGGACAACATGCACGAAAGTGAATTAAATGCTGGCGGGAGTAAATGATCTTGTTTATTAAGGGAAACCAGAATTACTGCTTCACAGTCCAGGGAAGGAGAGGTATGTGTGGAATCCAAGAGATCCTTTAAAATGCCCAGTAGAAGTTAATGGAAGTCGGTAGTAACCACATACCCAAGGGTTGAGAACTCTAAGAAACCAAAGTTTGGGTCACTTTACCACATAAAGAGCTCTGGTCAACTGAGGAACATGGACGTGGTAGTGGAGGCAGATGGTGCACTGGAACACACATACCCCCCACATTCAAATCTGCTGGTCACAAAGGAACTGCTTGCTCACAAAAACAAGTGGTGACTCAGGCAGTCTCAGGACATGGCATCATGCACTCACCTATTGAGCTCCCGGATGGCCCGGAGTCTGCGGATATAGCGACGGCAACTTGGCAGAATAGACAGGTGGTGGGCGTGCAGGGTAAGAAAGAAGCATTCTGTAGGGAATTTCGGCTCAGAAAATGGAGGCTGATCTCCATCTAGGAAAAATAACATAATCCTCTAAATAAAGTCTATTACGTGACTAAATCAGAGAAAAATCACAATTCAGAAAACAAAATTACACTTGAATTTTCAAAAGTTTAAGGATGCTTTTTAAAAATTATAGACTTAAGTAATACAAGAAAAAGAATTCCTATAAGCTCCATTTAGTTACTAGGTATTCTGCCCCATCTGATTAAGTGTTTACATAGATGAACACCAATCATCTTTTTTTTTTCTTCTTCTTCTCCCCAAAGCCCCCCAGTACACAGGTGTATGTTCTAGTTGCAGGTCCTTCTCGCTCTTCTACGTGGGATGCCACCTCAGCATGGCTTGATGGGTGGTGCTAGGTTCGCGCCTAGGATCCAAACTAGTGAAAGCCTGGGCCACTGAAGCAGAGCATAAACTCAACCACTTGGCCGTGGGGCCAGCGCTCAACCATCTTTTGTGATATATTTTCTTCATGTATTTTATACAACCATTTCCATTATTCGACACAGTTCACAAACATCATTTTAAATCTCAAAATTTTAATAAGCTACAGATACCATAGCCATTTCCCTACTGTTGGGAAATGTTCTTAATTTTTCTCTATTAGAAATAGTGCTAGAAGGATCTATGTATAAAAAATTACTCTCTCACCCCCTTAGCTTTGGACGCATATTCTGGAAAGTGGAATTATTGAGAATTAGTATTATAATTTTTGTTATGGAGTCCCAGAATTCACTTTAGATAGACTGAATAAATTGATTAAGTACCATCTATTTCATCATAAACTGTCACTCTATCTTATCACTTCATTTTTGGATAATTTATAGCTGTATATTGGCACTTGAATTTCTTTCAATTTGTATACAATTCCTACAAGTATACATATTTTTTCCTACAAGTGTATTTTATTTCCTATGACATATACTAAAAGAAAACTGTCTCTTGGTAGAATTTAGCTTTGGCCTTACACATTTATAACAGTTCTGTATTTTGAATTGTATGATTTTATAAATTATGCAACTGATATTTCCCTCCATTCTTTTTATTTTACATATTTATTTTGTCTTGTTCTATAAAAGGTGTGTTTATATACTAAGATATATACATACTGTCTCTTTATTTCTTAAATCATTACAAATTTCTCTCTCTTTAATGGCTGGGTCAAATCCTCTGTTTTTTTCAGGTTTTTTTAATGAATTTTTTAAATTGTTTAACCCTTTGATTCTTCTGGAATTTATCAGTTTGTGAGGTTATTCCAAGATTACATCAATTACTCATTCAAATGACATTAACCAAATACTGACTTTACTATTCATCAGACACTTAGTTCTTATGATAGTTTAAATCTTTTTCTGGAATGTGTATATCTGATCATGATGCTGCCACTGTCAGGTGAGCAGGGAATCTCTATCCTATTCCATGAATAACTTTATCATATTTAAAAAATAAATGCCATAGTGTTTTTTAAATTATTTTATTTTAAGATTGGTCCCTGAGCTAACATCTGTTGGCAATCTTCTTCTTCTTTTTTTCCTTCTTTTCCTCCCAAAAGTCCCCGAGTACATAGTTGTATATTCTAGTTGTATGTCCTTCTGGTTCTGCTATGTGGGATCCTGCCGCAGCGTGGCTTGATTAGAGGTGCTAGGTCCATGTCGAGGATCCAGACTGGTGAAACCCTAGGCCGTCCAAGTGGAGCACGTGAGCTTAACCACTCGTCCATGGGGCTGGCTCCTGCCACAGTGTTTTGATGTCTGCCATAGTGTTTTGATCAAATAACATGTTTTATAATATGGAGGAAAAGATCAATAATCACAACACCTTCAAAATATTCATAATTTTATTCCATCCATTCATCAAGATCTATGAAATATTTCATGAGAATTTTAATTGGCATATATAAAATCTATATAATAACTAAGTCACTGCCATTATTTTTATTATATATATATATATTTAAACTCTGAAGAATATATTTCCTTCTATTTGTTCTATGTGTCTATTTGATTTTGGCTAACTCAAATAAGTACTTTTTTACTGTATTAACTTTTACTGTATATCTCTAGCTCATAAATTCATTTTCTAGAGAGGTAATAACAATTTGTGAGGAATCACTAGCATCCAAACAAAAGAAAATATTTTTTCTAGACTCTATAAACTCGAACTTCTCAACTGGGGCAGCTGTAAACCAGCCATCCACATGAGCTGGGTGTGGCTCACTGAGGTGAATGAACAGCATGCCCTTTATTGACAGACGCTTTGGGATTACACCTAAACAAAAAAAATGCAAAAGCAGAAAGTCATTTTTTCCCAACTTAGGAATCACTTGCAAACCCAGTATCATTATTTTTGAGTTTTTGCAACATAAAATATGGTGCCCATTTCTCTTGCATTTCTACTTTCTGTTTTCCTGATGACCTCTCTCAGATACTTCTTATCTGTCACAAGCTTCCAGAACTTCCCTTTGCCTGTTGTCTTTCCTTCTCTTCTGTTTCCTCTATCTTTACTCCTTCACATTCTCTCCCTCTGCATCTCTGGACCTCTCTGGGTCACGACAGCATTTAGCCAAGAAAGCAGCTGAGGCAGAGCAGCATAGGCTCTCTTCTTCATCCTCTTTCCCACAGACGCTCCCTCTAGAAGGGCCTTCCTCAGCAAAGGTCTTCCTCAGCGCCAGCCTTTCTCTGGGCAGCTTGCTCTCTGGAGAACTCCTCTGATCTTCTCCACAACCCTACAACTCCCCCAACCCCAGCCCTGACCCCAAAAGCCCAGATACTAAGTCTGGAGTCTGCCTGGTTTATCTGAAGTCAGGTTTCCTAAGTGAAACAGAAATTTCATAAAGAATTAGGTTGCTTCCTTCACTACTGACAAATATGAGAAACTGCGACCAAACTAATGAAACATCCAGAAGGTGGAATTCACACCAGGCAGTGTGGTGGAGCAGAAAGAGCCCTGGACTTGGCCCAGAAAACCTGAATAACAGGCTAGGTGAGCTTGGCACCTTTTACAACCTCAGTCTCCTCATACTTAACTAGAAGACAGTATAGCTACTATTACGATATTCATTGAAGTTCTTTTCCTGATAATCCCTTAAGCCTATAGAACGTAAGGGAAGGTCAAAATGAAAGGCACACTAAAATCTCCTATGCTTTGGTTAAAATGTACCACGGCTTAGAAATAGCTTCCTACTGGCCAGTAAAATCTGGCCATAAAAGAGTTATGACTCGTAAATACCAGTAATGTTGACTCCCTGAGCAAGACAAGCAATCAAGTCCTTAGACATACTCCTCCAACCACCACACTCCTCACAGAGTGAGCCTGAGGAAGGTAGAGGAGGCTGAGTCTGATGTCACAGCATGCGGGAAAAGGAGTCAGGGAAAACTGGCACTAATGACAGAGGACAGGAACAGGGGGCAAGAGGGAGCAAGGCGGTGGGGGCAGGGAGGTGACAGACAGGCTGCTGCAGTTGGTGTCAAATACAACTGCAGGATGATGCTCTGAGTCCAATTATATCCTTCTGATAGAGGACGTATATCCCTTCTATTTTTTTTTAATTACAAAAAAATAAAAGCACAGTGTCTTAATGACTAATAATGAACATGTCACTCACAAAGTTCAGTCAGCCAGTCGTTCACATCCTCCATCGTTGCGTTCACTCTCGTCTCATCATTGGGAAGAGTGATCCGACACTTTGGGTGGAATATATACGTGGGATCAACTGTCTCTAACTTGATCTTTGTACTTAGCTGCTGCAGCACCCAAAGGAAATTCAGCATACATCCATCTGTAGATACCAATCTATCATCTGTCTGTGGAATGCGAAAGGAAGCATTTGAAATAATGATTTGAAGAGAAATTTTGGCACAACTTTACAAGAAAGGAGACCAAACTTTCATCCTTAAGTCAATGAAGGACATTTATCGTCACCACTGTCACTCTATTAGCAGGGGCTATTTGTCGAGTGTTAATCATTATGTGAAGCATTTTACGCTCTCTCACCTAATCTTCACAACAGCCCTTAGAAATCAGTGATCCTGTTATTCACATTTTATAGAGGAGGAAACTAGGGCTCAGGGAATTTGAGCGATTTGCCTAAGATCCTCATAATTAGTAAGCAGAAACACAATAAATATTGCTTCCTGTCTCTTCATTTCCCCTCAAGAGCATCAGAACAACTAGTTTTACTGTTACCCACCTGACTAACAGTTTCTCTAGCCAAGAGCATTAGCAGTCCTGCATTAATAATGTAACAATCATAGTAAACAGTTAACATTGGTTGAGTAATCACTACTTACTAGGCACTATTCTAACAGCTTTACATGTAGTAAACCCACAAGTGAGATACTGTTATCATCCCCACTTAACAATGAGGAAACGGAGACACAGAGAAGTAACTGTCTAAAGTCTCACTCTTAGTAAATGATGGAACCACAACTGGAAATCCAGGCAGTCTATACCAGGTCCACACTCGTCTCTATGCTTGCTTTTTTCTTCTGAGTAGAAATGTCACATCATTCATTAATCATACAGGATGGATACCCTTTCCACTTTTCTATTCTGGCAAAGTCCAAGCCGGCAGCCTCCTTCATTAGGAATGGTGCATGCATAACCTGGCAACCAGTCTCCTTGGGTTGGCTCCTGCCCCTCCTCCCACTTTAGTCCATTCTCAGCAAATTTGGTGGTTTCCTTGCTGAAAAACCCTCCAATGGTTTCGCATCACAGTTCTTACCACATCAGCCCAACGTGACAGAGCCTCTGCTAACCCTGGGAGCCCATGACCTGCCATTCTCTTCCTGTTCACTATCCTCCAGCCACAAAAGCCTGCATGTGGGGCTTGTGCCAAAGCTGGTTCATTCCCGCCTTAGTGCCTTACATGTATCTAGAAAGCTCTTTTCCCAACCCTACAATGGCTGCCTCTTTCACACGAGTCAGGTCTCTAATCAAACGTCACCTCCTTAAAGGGGCCCTCCCTGCCATCTGAGCAAAAATCACTACCATACCTTCCTTCGGGTACCTGCAACGGTTACTCTCAAGTCCTCTGCCTTGCTTTATCTGCTTCAAAGATTCTAGGACTGTCTGAAATAATATATTTACATGTCTACTCAATTACCCTATAGAACTTAAGCTCCAAAAATGTAGGAAACTTTTCTATCTTGGTCAACACTGTATTTCCACTTCCCAGAACAATGCCTGGTAGGTACTGGATAAATCTAAGGTAGATGAATGAACTTAAGGAATAAATAAAAGTAGCCTTCAGGAATCCTACCTGCAGCTGTGCTTTCTTCATATTGGCGTTGACAACAGCTGCCATGTAACCAAGAGCAGCCTCACGGGTTTCACCATTTAACAAAATACTATGCAGAATCTTGAAAAGCTCTTGCTGAAATTTATTTTAAAAAGAAAAAAAAATTAAAACTTCATTTTAAAATTATCCGTTTTTGACATCAAGAAAAGCTAGCCTCCCTCCCACTTTCTCTCCTCTCCCACATCCACTCATTTCAGGAGAGCCTGACTACAACAGGAATAGAAGAAAAGTCCACATTCAACTGTGGCAAGATAATTAGCATGAAAACAGAACATGGAGTGGAGGAGGTAAGTAGTTATAGTTTTAATAAAATAGCCTTTGCTATTTCCTTTCCAGGATAGGACCAAATTACCTCAATTACACTACAATTAGCCTATAATTTTGCTGCTTTTTAAGTTTCAGAACTGAAGACATAGTCAGCCTTTGGATTCATTTTCTGCACACCTACCCTTCCCAGCTCCAAGTAATGCTGCAGTGACTGGCTAACCACGCGAGTGTTCTCCAGGGTAATGGCAGGCCCTGAGAAATATTTTTCAACCACTTTAGCCTGGAAAGAAAAAGGAAAAAATTCAATCAACATATAATGTACATTTGAGAAGGAATCTGAACATAAAAGCGGCAAAGTGCAAATGGCCGCTGTACTTACATCATCTTCTGCAAAGACTGAGAAGCTGAAGAAAGCCCCCAAATAAGAGAGTCTCTGCAGCTCCCGCCCAGAGCCAGGGCTTAAGGATTTAGGCAACCACAGCGGCAAAGAAGCAACCTATGCAAAAAATGGAAGGGCAAATCAAGCTGCTAAATCAACGAGAGAGGTAAAAATGTAATCAATAGAGTTCTCAACCACCAACCTCTTCAGCTAGTTCAGAGCCCAGTACAACAACTGACACTTAACTTCCAAAAACATAAGCCTCACAAATATCTGTGGAGCCCTATTGGCATTTTCTAATCTCAGATGGAAGAAAACCCTCCAACTCCTCTACTACAGCTGCATAAGATCTTCTTCTTCTTCTTCTTCTTTTTTTTTAAGATTTTATTTTTCCTTTTTTCTCTCAAAGCTCCTCGGTACATAGCTGTGTATCTTTAGTTGTGGGTCCTTCTAGTCGTGGCATGTGGGATGCTACCTCAGCATGGCCTGATGAGTGGTGCAATGTCCACGCCCAGGATCCGAACTGGCGAAACCATGGGCCGCCCAAGAGGAGCGCGCGAACTTAACCACTTGGCCACCAGGCCAGCCCTATAAGATATTCTTTTAATTTTTATGTTTCAAGATATTCTTGGATAAGAGTGGAAATGAACTATTCTTATACTACCAAAGGATTCAAGTAAATTTTTCCCATAGGACTTGTTATTCTAGTTGTACAATACTTACACAAAAAAAAAATCACAAAAGCAAGTAAATAACTTCATCCCAGGAAACAATGTATAGGATGACAACTTAACAGTTGAAAGCCACCCACACGTTACCTATGTCTAAATGTCCTCCAAGAGACATTTTTCAGAAAACGTTACTTAAGGAATATCTTCCAGTTCTAAGTTCACTGAAAATGAGCAAGCCTATCAGGGAGGCACTTACCAAATTGCACACAGGGTGTGTCTTTCCAAACTTGGTTTCACAGAGTTCACCTAAAGCCTAGAAGTAAGATCGGAAGGAGTCATTTAAATGCATTTCATCTTAAACTGACTGCCAAGTATAACATCAAAGAATAGCTTTAATGTTGCTATAAAGATAAATACATTCCCTCCAAAATACTAACAGCTTCATTGATTTTCTGATGAATAAACTAATATGTACATATTGTAAAAAACTTCAGATAATACAGAAATATAAAATGAAACTAAAAATCACTCATAAAATTTACCCTAAGAGATAACCTCTATTGATATTTTAGTTAACAGCTTTCAATACATATTTTTGTGCATAGAGAGATAAACGTGCATATCTTTTACAAAAAATGATTTTTTTACTTGACATCTTTCCACGTCAAAAAGATATGCTTCATAAACTTTAGATGAGTAGTCTTGCTGGTGCTAAAGAGGACTATAAATAATTACAATTTAATAAGCTATCAAATTCAGAACATTTTTAAAAGTATTACTTAGTTTCCAGATCTCTTGTATTTTTGAGAACTCCAATATTTTCTTTTGGCGCTCCAATCATTCTTAAAATTAGAGAATCAGGAAAAATAGCTTTTAGGGATTTTAACATAGTTTAACATGGCCATGGTGATCCAATAAGCCCCATTTTAATAGTGAATTTAATTTTCTCTGTGATTTGGACACAGCTATAAAAGTTGCTAAAGCAGCTGACGGAAACTTTTGGGTCAATGCATTTAGGCACTGACACTTCTTCAAGAAGCCAGGGAGGTTCAGAGAACCACTGAGAAGGAAAGGTTCTCACTGCCTAGTAGGGGGACAGGGGGGGTGTTGCTAAACTTTGCTGCACATTAGGATCACCTGGGAAGCCTTTGAAAAGCCCAATGTCAGGCCATACCCTTACCACACCCTGGATGAATAAAATCACAATGTCTAGAAGCCAGGCATTGGTATTTTTTAAAGACCCCCAGGTGATTGCAAAGTATAGCAAAGTTGAGGTCCACTGACCTAGAGAATAATCACAATTGTTTCTGATTTTAGCTCTTCTTCCTGCCTCTCATTATTGTCCTTTCTCGCACTGCACTCTCATTGTTCTACAAGCATCAATAATGGTACAAAATAAAACTCTTGTCTATCTTAATGGAGGCCTTTGTCTTTTGACCAAGAACATTTTGTTGATATCTGACACTAAAAGCTCTTTACTGAAACATGAAGCTAATTCAAACCACAATAGAAAAGTCAACAATTCCATGAAGGAATATTTACGTGATACAGTAATAATTAATGTGCTCTAAAATATTTCACCACTGAACTCAAACAATCAGATTATTCCACTTCCTTTTATCTGCTACAGATAGAACAATGCATAAGGATTAACAGAATTTTATTAGGAACCTGAATAACATATGCAATGGAAAGAGCCCTGACATAAATCCATTCAAAATTATTTTTAAAAGAATTCCCCTTCGATCTTCTAATTTCCCAGCACTGTCTCTTAGCCTTTTAGCTCAGTCTTGATTTTTTAAAGCAGATAAATGCACCCTTTGTGTACATCTCTCTGTTGGCATTGATCTCAGTGTAATTATCTGGCTGTGTCGTTCTGGTCTTGATTTTTGCAGTCGATTATGAGCACCTTAAAGAGAGGCAGTACCTTGTCTAATTAGTTCCTGTGTCCCGTCCCCCAGTGTCTGGCATAGAATAGGTCCTGACTAAGCAAGGAATTAATGGTAAGATGGAATTAAGTCAGTAGAACGAGTTAAAGGAACAACTACGGTAAAAAATACCAGTTTAACCAAGGCCTCAATTTACACAAGGTGGTATTTATACATAGTTAACTAATTTCATATTTTGATATTTTTCCTTCATATTTCCAGAATGAAAAATATTCAGTAATACTTGAGAGTATTTTTCTCCTGAAATTTCAAAGCAGCCAATACAGAGAAGAAAAGAGCCTCTGATTTTCTTTCTAGTTCCAATGTTTTCACAACAGTCGAGGCCCTTGATGTGAAGCTGGCTGGAGGTCTGTCTAGGATTTATGCTTGCTCTAACTGCCTTAAGGACCTAAACAGATCTGTGTTTTCCAAACAAAGCTTGAAGTGAAGTGTACAGCCTCAGGAAACCGGGAAGATGAATAGGAGAATTACTCTGAGAGTTTCTGGAGAAAGTCACTACATAAAGATAAAATCGTATCACTTTTCTTAGTGTAACTCTGCTTTTTTATTTGCATTTGTAATAGGTTTTTTTAAATAGCATAATTTTATCCCAAATATGGTATGCTCATTGCTAGGAGAATAGGAAGGATACCACCAGTAATGATGGTTTTCCTAAGTTATACAGTAAGGCGAAGTACGTTTTACTGACTGCACCACTGACTCCTGTCTAGGACTCGAACGAGTGAAACATGTACCGGGCTGCTAACTGTCTTCAATGATGCATCTCACTGCACACCAGACACTGCATGGCCAACACAATGATGGCATGTTTTAAATCTGAAAACAAGGTTGATCATGGACCTGAAAGAAAAGTGTATGTTAAAATAATCTGGAAGAAATACATCTATTGAATGAGTTAAAGAAAAAGAACAAAGTTTTACCATGAGGGGGTATTTAAAGTAGTCACTATCGAGGGAGCACTCTTTGGCAGCAAGAGCCAGGCCTTGTAAAATGGGGATAAAGATCTATAAGGAAAAAAACACAACAAAATCAGAAATGTAAGTTTAAGAAAATCTAAGAACGGGAGGCATGTCAAAGTACTGAGTCTGAATGTCCAGACATTTTCACTCTTTCCAAGGAAAAGCTGTTTTCCATATAAAGGAGTCGAGAATTAGCCACAGAGTGTTGCTGTCTTTTTGATAAGGTGACCCATAAAGTAATGCAGCTGAATTCTCCAGAAGTAACAGGATTGGTGAACCCTAAAACTCTGGCAGCACCCCCAGTCATTCAATAGAAACTCACAAATTTGGAACCAGCTGTAGGACTCCCCAGGGGCCTGTGCTGTAATCAACTAAATTTTGCACATCTCAGCAATGAGTTTGTTTCTAATTACCAAGCACCTATAATCTGTAAAGAAACTGAACTAAATGTTCTAATATTTTCTCAACTCTACCAATATTTTTCAAAATTCTTTGTTGCCACGCTCCCACCTGCATCTAATTCTTTCCATTTTTTCCTTGTTTCCTTCTTGAAGAGAACAAGAAAAACAGACCAATAACGGATATTGTTATTATTACATTAACTTTAATTATGTGGAGCAAAGAGATAGCTGGTAAATGTTGGAAATGAAAAAGAAGACTTTATTAGAATGCCGTACCTCCACATACGGTGTAATTACTATAATAATCTGATATTGGAGCTTAAGGGCGCTCAGATGTACTTTTACAAGTTTACCATTAACACGAGGGCACATGAACACTATGCCAGATTTGCTCAGCACAGCTCATCTTCAGTTTCACAATGCACTCACTGATCAACCCATTTAGGGAGTTGGCTGGGATTCAAGACTAATAACATTAGGTCGAAAATGTTGTAAACAACAGCTGACAATCTGAATGTCAATAAGTCGAAAAAGGGGGTGTTCTATAAAGCCACTAGAAAACCTGAAAAATTCTCTTTCCTACTAATTTCATCCCATTGTACTGAGCGCTTGTCATTTAAGGAGCACAGTACAAAAAAAGGGGCCCAGGATTACAAAGTGCCTTGGAGTGTCCTCAGATGTCAACACAGCCCTGGAAGAGATCATTCTAGGTTTTACAACTCAAGCAATCAGGGTAGGAGTAAATATGCTGTCATAAGCTAGCGAAAAATGGACAGGTAATACTTAGGGGTGGGGGTGGGGAATGCCCAAATTGCAATCAAGAAAAAAACAAACAGAAGTTCTAGAATCATCAAAAATAAATTTCATAATTGGTTATCCAGTAAAATCTCTAAGCATTTTTTTCAGAAATGCTATAAAGTAAAACATCTTTACTCTTTCTAGTCGAGTTATTTTCTTTTGCAAGTAGAGTTTAATTTATAATAAATAGACAAAATATTACTAAGCATAATATTTTTCAAAGAGCTAAACTTTATGCTACTTGTGTAACTTATTTTAAATAATTCTCTTATTGTCAAACAACTACCTCCCAACACTGATAAAAAAATGCCTTACAATATTCATCTCTAATCCTAAATTCTAGATGCTATTTACTTCTGTTTATTTATCTGTGAAGACCTCAAATATCAAAAGAAGATTGAAATCTCAGATAAAAGATTTAATTCAAATTTGCCACACTCTTAAGACAAAAAGGTAAAATGCTGTTTTTCAGTTTGGCAACTCCATTTTACTCATCATTTCTCTCTGGAAAAAACACATGATAATAGATAAGAAAAGATAAGGAGGGTTCAAGACTGAGTGGCAGAAAAAGCATGAGAATTCTGTGAGTAAAAATAAACAGGTCTGTGCTGGTTGCACAACATTGTGAATGTGCTAAATCCACTGAACTGCACACTTTAAAATGGTTAATTTTATGTTATGTGAATTTCACCTCAATTTTAAAAAACAAAGAGGTCATTTCAAAACCTCTGTTAGTTTCTTTATGAATAAAATAGGTATAACATATCCCTTTCAGCTGATCACTGGGCTGATTCTATATAGTTAAAGCTGCTCTGGCTTCCTCAAATGATGTATTTTGAATACAAGTATTCTAATTAATGCATACTACACATATAATATAATGTATCACATAAACATTTCAAGACAGTTATTTATTTTCGTCAGAGCTCACTTATCTTTCTAGAAAAGAAAAGCTCACTATGCTGCCTTAAATATTCCCGGAAGTCAACAAGGCCATCATCTAAGGTAAGCAGTTAATGAATTCCAGATACAGAGTACACACACAACACCAACTGGGATTTTTATTCGTGAATTCTTCCTTTACTAATATTTTGAAAACTACTGAAAACACAATTTCTGAGAATTCAAAGGCCTTGAAATTAATAGTTACAAATAACACTAGGTATAAAAACAGATTAAAAGGAATCATATCAATTACAGCTGTTGCCTTTGTTATTCTTCCTAGTCACAAAAAAAGAAATGATCATACGACAAATTCTAAGAAAATGTCATAAAAATCCTTTCATCAAGGGAAATAGCTTGTGTGAAAGTTCCTGAAGTAAAATGTTTACTTTGGAACACAAGCCATAAGACAACAATCAAAATGTAATGCCCACGTTTCACCTTGGAAGAAACCTTAAAGTCTAAAGTAAACAGCTTTATTGTTAAGTATTGCATATCTGCATTTTCACTTAACTTTAAATAACGAGAAAACCAAAATGTATGAATACCGAACGAACAAAGTACTCGTAAGAGATGAGACATCATTCTCAGTTCAGTGGTGAGAAGACAAAGATTCTTTGTGGCTGGCAGACTACAACTGAGCTAATTTGGCTGTTAATTTATTAATCTCCTTTCCGTAAACTCAGAGAACTAACTTTCAACACTACACAGCGGGCAAATTCACATCCTGCCTTGTGCTATATCTTGGCATTCTTGTGTTACAAGCTTCTTGAAATCTAGGAGAGGGCCTTATATTTCTTCTTATCTCCCAAAGCACTGAGCACAGACCCTGTTTAAAATACTCAATGCTTGACTGATTAGGTGAAATGGACACATGATGGGAATAATGCAGCTGTCAACCTGACTTCCTCAAGAAAGGGATCTCAGATAGGTCTCACTGAGGAAATAACACGTGCACGTTCGAATTCAGGAACAGAAGTTTCTCCCATACGGTGTATTCAGAAATCAGCCTTGGCATAGAAACTTCTAGGCTAAAAGTTTCAGTAGCCACTCACAAAACTTTACCTGCTTGAACACTTCTTCATCCTGATGAGTGGTTCTCACCAGTTCTTGAATGAAGCCATATGGGAGATTCCTACATAGCATATACGGCACCAGGAAGGACGGCTGCTGCATGGACCTGTGAACCCACAAAAGTCAAGGACTGCGATGAATCAACTCATTACTGCATAACAACAGAACATATGGAACGTCACACTGGCAGCAACTGTCCAGTCAAAAGGCAAAGTCTAAATCTCCCAAATATTCTATATTCTACACAATAGTTTTAGGCAAAAGATCACCCTTCTCATGGTTAATCATCACTTTTTGGTCTTTTTAATGAGACTACAGAAAGTTTCAAAAAATCCATCTTTTCCTACACATGGCCCTTTAAGAATAAAGTGTTAACAAAAAAAATGAAGCATTATATATCTCTTTTACTTATTTGTTTATGCCTCATTCGATTAAAAAAAGATTAGCACTGGCCAAGGACTTTTTAGAATTCTTATTAATTTTAACAATAGAAGATTTTTTAAGGTACATGCATATCATTTTCCTGCTTTTTGACAGGTTTCAAAAATATACGCCTATGGTGCAGAAAATAATGTAAGAACATCCAGAATGAATAAACATACCTTTGTCATTTTTCCTTTACATATTTTTCATAAAAGAAATAAAATATACAAATGGTCTTTTATTAAACTTGAAACCTGTAAGGGACTCTCAGAAACAAATAATTAACAGTGTAGTACTCTGGGTGATTCCCAAATTATCCGTTCCACCACTCTTCCTTATTACTAAATAATACAAATCGACTGTGTGATACATGGAAAGTGATGATCGGCACATTTTATCAAAAACCTCCACTGATTTCAAGCAGTGGTTTTTAAACTAAATTACTAATTTCCTGCCTTGATGCTGACATATTTCACCAATGGTCAATCTCAATAAAGCACACAGAAAGTGTTTTATTTTCAGAGTACTTTAGAGAAGGAAAGTAACCTCAGAGGTCATCTAGTCAACCACTTTCATTTTACAGGTGAAGAAGTGAGTTATCCAAGGTGGTGCAAAATGGCTGGGCAGCCTGATGTCCTCTAACGAATAGGGTCCTCTCCCTGCTAACATCAAGCACAGAATGCTTTTTCATACCTTGGTTGTGTGAGGGAACCTTGTAGTACTAACGCAGTGTGGGATATGCACTGTGAGCGGATGTTGCTCAGAAGCTGGCTGACTGCTGGCTGGCTGCACATCTGAAAAGAAAGGTGGCGGTTAGGACTACAAAGAGAAAATAATCCCAGGGGGCTGAAAACCGACACGAGTCAGAGCAGATGGCTCTCCGGAAAATGGCACGCTTCTCTCTTCCTTAATTCATAACGAACAAACTAGAGAAACTGTATCAATCCAAGTACACTGCCTCTGCTGAAATCTACAGTTAGAGAAGAAAGAAGTGGATGTTTGAGGTGACCACTCAGCATCTCGGAGATGCGCCCAGCGCCCTCTCTTTGCTTCTGCTGGTAAGGTTAAGCGCAACAAACCCAAAGAGACCCTTCACAAATATGAAACCAACAGGTGCACAAGCAGATTGGTTTCTAATGGAAAACTGGAACTAGAAAATGAGAGAGAATATAATGAGAAAATAATGAAGTCAGTCAGGAGTAAATAGTAGAAAAAGAGTAGCTTCCTGAATTTAAACCAAGTTTTCCAACTTATTCATGTGATTCTGGACAATCACTTAATCTCTAAGCAAATCTCCATCTGCTTATTCCTGCAATGGAAAAAACACCTATCTGCTGCTGGATTGCAGTGGATTAACTGAACAGCAGTGAGAACTGAGCTAATGCAGACGCAGCACAGTGTCTGGCAGTCTACAGGCACTCCACCAATGCTGGTTATTACACTAATGATTACGACAGACTACCAGCAATTATCAGGGCCATCTAAGTTGCTGGTGGCAATGGCACCTGGCCCTGTCACTTCTTCCCTCCACTACGATGAGTTCCACAAGTGCAGGGATCGTCACTGGTTTTGTTCACTGATACACACCAAGCTCCTAGTACAGCATCTGGTAATAGGAGATGCTCAATGACCACTTTACTGATTGACTAAAGGAATGAATACTCCTTAGGGGGGATATCAAACAAATGACCAGGTTTTTAAAAATGAATCTATTTCATATTACCTTTGGTGCTTTTTTTTCCTCTATTCCAACTCGGTCAAAACACTCGATGAGGTAGTTCAGCATATCTGTCTCCTTGCAGGTCTCAATGGTGAAATGGTCACTGTAGGAATCCCAAGTACTTGCCCCACCAGAGGCTCCCAAACTTTGGAGAAGAGAAAAGAAAGTTGATGATTTTTACCTCTTCTCAATGAATTACTTTAGATAGAGTTTGCGTTTCCGCAGCAGAAAGCCTGTTAGAGCCCCGCACCCAGGAAGAAGCAGAGACCCATGCAGCCAAGGTTGGAAGTGACTGCCTGTTTCACCTGCTCCAAGTCCAGCAAGAGTAACTTTTAGTAAACATTTTATTGACCTAGGAAGAGAGTCTGACCAGAAACCCAGCATCTCATCTTATTTGGAATGGCAACTTACAAAATGAGGAGGACTAAGAACTGCCACCAAGCGCTGGGCATTTGAAGGGATGCCACACGTACTTGAACCAAACTGGCCAGGTTCACCCAGGTAGACTTGTAGGTGAAAGCCACACTATGCTATCACTGTAATCAAACTCTTTAGTGGGGAAGTTATAGGGACTAACAAAATACCCCTCCTCCTCAAGACTCTAGCACAGATCTCGAAAGCTTTCATCCAGCATTTGGCAACAAGACCAGAGCTTAGTTAGGCAAACCATTCAGTTAGAAGGAGACATGAAAATATTTGTTATTAACACAAAATTTTCCAAAACTTTTAGGGAAAAAGGCAAAGTAATACAGTAAAAACAAAACAAAAATCCTGCATGAGGAGTAACCAACTTGGGTTCTCTTCCCAACCCTGCTGCTTGTAACTGAACCTAGAACCTCCCCTCCGGGGCAGAGGCTTAGATGAAACCATGTGGAAGTGCTTTGTCAAATACAAGCAGGATACAATGTGAGGCACTGTTAGTATCAGTCATAACTAGTCTCCGAGACCAAAGCCAAACATTACCACAAGGGTTAGGGTGAGGAAATTAAAGTTTGGATCACCCACGAACCGGTTACATCTGAAATCTGATGTTTAACTCATAATCGATTTGATATACACAGAAGATACAAAGAAATACATCACGGCATAGGAAGAAGCCAGGAATTTTGAAATGAAGAGGAAATGAAAAAACATAAACTTAGCAAAAAAAAATTGCATATACAGGATGGGAAGAACATCAGGAACTCAAGAGACCCATTCCTACTTCACCACGGGGCCGACGATTAAAGGCTAGAAACTAACAGGACCAAGAGGAATTGAGATATTAACAATGCGTTACGCAGACAGATGCAGAGATATCCATAACTAATTTTGGAGTACATAGATAGCTGACCTTAGAATTTTAGAAAAATATACACAATTGATCTCAAAATGAAAGTACAATATTAGAGTATTTCAATAAAAAAGATGAAAACAACGCCAGTTTTAAATCCAAGACTTCCAGGCCAGGGTCCAGTAAACTTAAATTCCTATAACTTACTACACAGGCCTGACAGAAGGGAAGGGAGGCGGCGAGGCCAAGAGGCGGTCAAAGCCACAAGGCAGCCAACACCCTCCCAACTGGACAGGTAATTGAGCCACTCACAAAGCGCCTCACCAGAGTCATGACAAAGATGGGCGGGCCAGCATGGGAACCCTCAAAAAACCAACAACAATTAATTGTTGGGTCTTCTTCTCAGTTAATTTTGAGGCACACTTCATTAATAGCAAGATCTGGTGTCTGTTAATTGGCCTGATAACAGAAAGATGAGTACTGTAATAAAGCACAGGAAAAAAAAAAACCAAAACACAAGAACAAAACAGAAAAACCCACCCACAAGTATAAGAAGTGCAGTGAATCCTCCGAAGTGGAAAGCGGAGAAAGATGCCCGTCTTCACCTGCAGCAATCGTACTTTTAAGCTATCTGCTCTTCCTCCCTCTTCCATCTGACATTGGTGACTCAGTGTCTATATTCACTGCCCCTCCTAAAGAGGAACTTTGTTCATACAGGCTATCCCTACACAAATTAAGGTTAATTTTCCTCTGAGCAGCTTTCACAGATGACAATGAAAATAGATCTTCCTCATGAAAATGAAAACATTTTAAACTATACACTCCCTTGATAATAAGGCTCATATTTTTCACATTTTCACGTTTCTGAGATGAAATCATTCTATATTTGCTGTCAATAGTCCTCGCCAGTTGCAAGGAGTCAGCCTGACACAGTCCCCACTGCCGGGATGTGAACATCTGTATGAAGGCAGCACGCTTAGATGGTATCTGCTCACGCACTGAAATGAGGTTCCACTCTTAACCAACACATTCCATTTAATTTTAACTTAAAGTTGGATGTCTCAAAGTCAATTGAAGTATCTTCACAAATGTCGCACTAAGACATGAAAAGTGACAACGTATGTGGAAGACTGCTTGTCTCGTGCCAGGCAATGCAAAGAATGGCGCTCAGAATATATGAGAGAATTTTCAAAGCTACAAGAGGTGGGTGTATTTCGGTGATCATCTGTCAGGCACCAAACAACACTTCCAGCTGACTTTCAAGAGAAGGAGGAAAAAAAATGAAACAGAGGTTTAACCAAATAGAAATGTAGAATAAACGCCAGTATTCATCAATATATTTCAAAATCATAAGACTGATCCTAAGGTGGTAAAGTAGGTCATGACCAAAAGTGTGGAAAGTGGCCAGACTCACCAATGCTCTGCGTAAGTGTCAAAGGTCAAACCGATTTACAAGGACCCTTAGATTCAAAGTAAAAGAGTTAGACTCAACCTTTGAAGGAGCTACTGAAGGAGAAAGTGGTATACAGTTCATATGCATAAATTTATGCTATCAATAGACATTCTAAAATGTTTGAAAGAATATTTCATTTTTTCCTAAAAAAGCTGCTACAAAATTCCTGATGCTTTTACAAATGTGACATGTGGAAGATCACAGTGGAAATATGTCATATTTAAGTCCCAAGAGTCTCTAAAAAATTATACCTCCTTCTGGGAGAATATGTGAATTATTTTCTGATAACTGCAGCAACAGTCCAATTTAATAATATCATTGATTCGCATAAGAGAAGTATAGTTGAATCCTTCTGAAAACACAGTGAAAATATTCCTGGGGATTTACATATGCATCAAATCTGTGCAAACTGAATCTCATTTTAAGTGCACGACGAACACTCGCTTCTTGAAAGGATTCCACTGTAGTTTCTTTTCTACTATAAGGGGAATAATTACCCTCTTATGTACTCATTTTTTTTTAATGCACACTCTGGAATTTTGTATTTTCTCAGTGCAAGGTCAAGTCAGAGCTGTGTAGGTTTAAGCAATGTGAATTCGTTGAACAAATGTTCAAAGTGTGCCTTCTGTATTCCAGGTCCTGGGGGCAGTGCTGAATCAAACAGATCAAGACCTCGCTCATACGGCAATTACATTCCAGAGGGGAGACAGAAAGAAGTTAATATAGAAGTGCCATGAAGAAAAACAAAAGCTGAGTACGAGTGACAGAGAAGGGCAGAAAGTGTCTGCATGTGTTTAATATTATGTTTAATACACGGGGTCAGGGAACACCCTCTGATAAGATGGCATTTACACACAGACCTGAAGGAGTGAGAAGCAGACCACACGGCTACCTGGGGAACAGAGGTCCAAAGAGAGGAAGCGAGGGCAGCGGCCTAAGGCAGGAGGGAATATGCTGAGCGAGTTCAAGAACAGGATCAGTGTGTGAGTGAGAGGATACACGCAAGTGGAGGGAGATGTGAGAAAGAAGGAGCGTGTGCGCACGTGTGTGTGTGTACATGTATGTATGTGTGTATGAGATGCAGGGTCTTGTAGGCCAAGGTGAGAAGCTTTGGGTTTTACTCTGTGTGAGAATGGAAATCGCTGTAGGGTTTTGAGGATAGACAAAACGGAAAGGTTTCTTTTCGACCATTTCCATGTTTCATCTCCAAGTAGAGACAACAGCAGAAATAAGAGGGCAAAGGTTGATGTTTTTCACTATTCGCTCATTTTCCCTTTCCCTATTCACATAGGCTCATGACTTTCAAGATTTGACCTCCTTCACTGAAATATCTAAGCAGTAAAAAAACCCCAAACACCATTTTTCTAGTCATCAACTTTCTAGGAAACAATCACATTTTTCCTCAGTTACTCCTCTGTTATCTTTATTGCAAGAGAATTCTCTTACTTTCCTTATTTCCACTCCTGCAAGTGGTTCCTTATAATTCATAGAGCTCTTGTCACAGAAGACTGCAAAATATTATAGAGGGAATCTTTTACCTTTCTTAAATTTTATCATCATCACTATAAATAGTTAACATATCAAGGTATGTCCCGACTACCTCCAAAAAGAAGCGTAAACCATCAACTCCACTGAGCAAGCAGAGGGCAGACAGAGACGACCCACTGTTCCTTCTTCTACGACATCAATCTTACCAGGGAAGAAGGAGGTGTTAAAATTGCTTACTTCAAAGTAAACAAAATTCTGAGAAGATCAATTAAAAAAGGAGGAAGAGCGGCCAGCCCCGTGGCCTAGTGGTTAAATTCAGCACGTTCTGCTTCAGTGGCCCAGGTTTGGTTCCTGGGTGTGGACCTACAACAGTCACTGGTGGCCATGCTGTGGTGGCGACCCACGTTAAAATAGAGGAAGACTGGCACAGATGTTAGCTCAGGGCAAATCTTCCTCAGGAAAAAATTAAAAGGTGGGGGAAGAAAAGGATTTGCTGATCGCTCAAATTAACAAAGTCTTTTGCTGCCTTTTCCTGGTTCTGACCCTACATGCATTCTCAAGCTCCTCTCTATTTGTTTAATCAGTTATGTATTTTTATCCATCCTTTTACATTCTTTTTGATATCTATACAGAACGTATAAGTTGCCAAAATCTGGAAAGATCAGATTTCATTTTAACAGCCAGCAAAGGACCTGCCAACTGACTGGAATGGAATTTTGTAATTAAAGAGTAAAATGTTGGCATTTCCTTGCCAAAAAACAGAGTAGATGCATAAACATTCGGCAGCAAAATAACTAGTAAGGAACGAGAACACCACAAGTGCCATTGGGCAAAAATGGAAAAGCCAGAGATGGCACAGTACGACAGTGAAGCACGTGAGTTCTGAACTCGGGCTCTGCCACAGACTAGTTATGGATGAACCTCCCTGTACCCCAGTTTCCTCCTAGAAGTGCTGCAGTGAGGAGTAGAGGGATAATGTGAGCAGACTGCTGACACAGTATCTGGCACATGATGCTCAGTAAGTATTCGCAGCTATTATTACACAATCAGCAAGTTTTATTTCTCCTTGTAAGTATAGAAGGTAGATCTGAGACAAGGTTGGGATGTTAGAAGTCTAGAAAGAGAGGGGTTAGTAAAAGCAGCACACAATCTGATATTGTTAGAGAAAGTTGGAATTAAATAGTCCAAGGAGAGAAAGCATTTCTCCCACAATAATTTACAGTCAAACAGATAACAAAGCACTTTTATCAGGTATGGAAATTGATTCCTAACAAGGATGCCTGCTGCTGTGCCATAATCATGCAATAGGATTTTATCTGTATGAAAAAGATACTTCCACCTTTGGGAAATTTCCTTGAGAAATAGTGATAAAAGCTTAGACCTAATATAAATATCAACTTTTGTGAATCAATATTCAACCTTGCACCAACATTCCTCACTCTCTTTATATACTCTCTGATTCTTCTGAACACTGTCAAATTTAATGAAGTGTATCTAACTCCTACTGCTGTCTATTTATAGCCTGGAGTTATTTTTGGACAGTGTTGGGCATAAATACCAACTCAGTCCAGAGGAAACTTCAATTTAAGAGCAAAATTTTAAGACCATGAGTCAGAAGGTCAGAAAGAAGGTGCTATTACATTTTCTTACTCAAAGTCACCTAGAAAATCCAACTAGTCTTTTTCACTTGGTTTTTGGGGTGAACACCATGAACAATGTTTTAGCTTCTGCTGCCATTCCAAAGGCCACCTCAACAAACAGGGTCTAGCTTCACTGAGGTCGAGGGGGTTATTAGCAAAATTTAAGTTTAGAAGTGAAAGTAGAATCACAGTTACACCAGGCAGTATGACCCCATGTGTTCTTCAATGGACTGCCCAGGCTGAGCTGGGGCAAGACACACATACACGTGTGCACACGCATGCGTGCACGTTCCAGCTCCTAAATAGCAGCAATCCGTGTAACTGTACATAAGAAAACATGCCTCACAGGGGACATGTTGCTCATGTCTGGTAGCTCATAAGAACACTCTGACAATAGATGGATGAAGGGTCCCTCATCTTAGATCTAAGGGTGAGTGAACTTGACAACTGATCTTTAACCTGTTGCTCATGTTTCTGACAAATGATTATACAAAAGTTTTCCTCCAAACTTACCAGACAACAACCGTCAAAATTTTCCTATGTGTAACTTTACCCCATGATAAGGTCCTAAAATTTCAGTACATGCAAGTTCTCACATCTTGACTCTCCAGGTCGCCTCATCTGACCCTAGCCTGTTTGGATTCAAAGCATATCTCTAATCAGAGCTTATGACAGTTAGTTCCTAAGCACCTATGCACATGCAGGGGTAAGACTCCACTCCTCTGATACCTGGACCCAAACTGGACACAAGAAAACTCATCACCACCACCACCACCTTCATCATCACCATCATCATCTTCTTCATCTTCGTCACTACTGTCCCCAGAAAGTGCGAGGAAGAGGAGGGAGAAAGGGCTGTCGCACATACTACCACAACAAAAGCAAAAAAGGTCATCAGGGAACAAGGGAAAAACAAGAGGGGGAAAGCTTCTGCAACTGTTGTCCCTTTTTAATTAAATCTTATGCTAAAAGTCCTGTCTACTGACATGCAGGAAAATAATTCACCGACATTACAGAAATGCATAGGTACATTTGAGAGGAAGGGCACTGGATTGATGGAATTCTGACACTGCTTCTTTCCAAGAGGTGGAAATCAAAGTGTCAAGGCACAAACTCTGGCCTAGCCTCAGTGACCAGAGGTAAGGGACACCAGGCCCAGATTTGCTCCCACAACCCCTTGCTCTGACTGCATTTCAGCTATGATTGGCAACATTACAAAAAGTTGAAAAGTGGTCCTGTGAGCCCCAATCTCAAATACAAACTGCCCACAGTCTCTGAAACTCATTTGTAATGAGGAATGACATGTGAACTAGATTTCAAAAAACTAAGTTACTTTTCTTTGTACAGGAAGGAGGAAGAGTGAAGAAAAAAAGAAGGGAAGAAAGGGACTCAAAACAGAGCAACCCATACTTTCTCATGTTATCAAAGCTGGCAGAAGAATGGACTTGGGTGCGGTGTGAGCCTACCAAACTAGTTAGACACACGGGTTAATCACCCAAAACAGAAAAACACACGTAACTGAGGTCAGTGTCGCACAACAGTTCTTCCAAACCATGTTAATCTCCTTTGCCTGCACTGCAAACGCACACCCAACTCTCCTGCTGAATAAATACCTAGGAGAAATCCTTAGGGAGGAGGGACGTCTGCTCACAGCACTGGGTGAGGCGGACAGTAGAGGTGGCCCCATGCTGGTGGGTCTCTGTCTGGAAGAGCTGGCAGGCACTGCTTGAGGGCTACTAGCGAGGGCAGGGAGGCGTGGTAAGCTAGACAGAATGGAGGTGCCCGAGGACCGCGTGGTAGGAGAAGTTGAAGACCCCCAGGGGTGGGTGACAGTGTAGGGGCGATATCGTGGAGACGAGGGCTGGCTTCCTGCAGCAGTCCCGGAAGCAGCACTATGAGGACTGAGGGAAATGGACGGCACAGCCATGTGGCTGGCTGCACGGGAAGGTGAGGCAAAAGAAGGACGCATCATTGGCACAGAGCTCCAGAAACTCATACTGGAAGCTGGGCTAGTTTCATAGAGGCTAAATTAGTAGAGAAAGGGAGGAAAGAAGAGAAAATTGAAGAAAAACTTGAGATAAATAACTAAAATGGAAAATAAAGCTTTTACAGGACTGTATCGTTATACTTCATATTGTTGAGTATTCAAGTATATAAATCTTTCAGATACTTATCTAAATAATTATAACTTAATTACTGTACTGATCTAGAGGCCACACATAAAATATAATAAAACCCTCTTTCCAAAGAATAATGTACTATATTCAGCCATTTGTTTCTAAAATTTAATATACCAATAGCCTAACCATAGAAAGCCAGAGACCAATCTGGAAAAGACAATACCTCCTGCAATGACTACATCCATGCCCCAAACACGATACATGCCATAACGCATGACACAAGCCCGTGAATGAACGCTCCCTTCTCTTACATACTTCATGGCTATTTTACCACCAATTAGATGCGCAAAAAGAACCACACTGACCTAGACAAAGAGCTGGCACTGAAGGAACCCAAACTGCAGAACATCGGGCTTGTTCCTGGATTGGAGCCAGTATTCAGCATGAGATTTCTGTCTGGTGACCGAGCTGCCGCTGCAATTGGCTGTGATGTGGCTGTCAGACTGGCAAACGGGTTTTCATCTCTAGTCTGAGTGGACATCATTAGCACTTCCATTAAAATCTGGCCAATCAAGTCCTTAAAATCAGAGAACACTGTTGGAAAGGCAGAATAAAGACGAGATTATACATGGGTTCTTGACATATACAGTCCTTGAATAAGCCAAAGTGAACCAGAGGTTCAATGTGGTACCCAGATTGGATTCTGGAACAGGAAAAGGACATCAGTGGAAAACCTGGTGAAACTCAAATAAGGTCTGGAGTTTAGTTAATAGTTTTGACAAATATACTCTGGTTATGTAAGATGTTAACATTAGGGGAAACTGGGAGAAGCATATACAGGAACTTCCTGTATTACCTCTAAAACTTTTCTGTAAATCTGAAATTATTGCAAAATACAAAGGTTATTTAAAAAAAACTGGAGCATAGTCAATAAGTGTCACTGCTGATATATATTAACTATAGAAAGAAGCTACTCTCAACTACAGAAGTTAGTTTATCATACTAGAAATGCAAGTGGGTTATTATTTCTTTGCCTATATATGTTTGGTATACAGTAAAACTATTAAGTACGAATTCAAAATACTTTATGAAAGGTCTAATATTAGTCACAATCTGGCTTCCTGGAGCAGATTCTATTTCCTAGCTTCTTTCTTATTCTTGGTAGCTCCTGAATGCTTTACTGAACGTCTTCACATACTTTTTAAAAACGGCTAAAGTTCTAACCCATGTAAATCTTATTTGGTTATTAAAAATTACCAATTATATATGTACAAGAGAGATTTGAGAATCTTAAGATTTACAATAAGAATAATAACAAGTGGCAGGGTTTTGAAACACATGGTTGCTAAGCTCACCTCTATAACCAGTTAATAAGAAGATCCCAGTAAAATCAGAAGTTAATTATCCAAGTGCCAGGAACATAGGGGACTATTTTTTTGCCATGGAAGATAGGCAGCAGAGGAAAAGGAAAGGCAATCTCCTGGATGTTCATGCATTCATTTAAAATACATTTATTGAGGGATTGTTAAGTGCAGGGTACCCTTTGAGGCACTGGGGATACATCAGTGAGCAAAACAGACAAGAATTCCTGCCACCAGGGAGGTTATATTCTCATGATATGCAAAAGAACACTTGGACACACCTCCCCAACCTCTTCTGTATTCCAAATGACTGCCATAAAGAAAAGTGACAGTGCCATGTAATGCTCCTATCTTGCTAAGAGTTTTATTAATTTCTTTTAAGTGTGGTTTAGCATAATCTCTTAAAATGGAATCATGGAAACACAGCAAAATATCAAAATGTTCTATCTTGCTAACCAATTTAATCAAGCAGATTTACTCAACTGTCTACACATGACCTGGTAGGCACTGAAAGCAGGTACAGGTCACACACAGCGCCCCTCTCAGGATCCCTGGAGACTACCCAGTACACTCCCACTTTATAAGAGGCACTAATGCTCTCCAAGCACCTTATTATTGAAAACGAAAAACTTCAACCCTGAGACCATAGAGAACATTAACCTTATTTATGTAGTTTTCCTTTAGAGAAAATATGAAAATAACTTGTCAGTAAGATCAGTGGAAAGTGGCCAAATAGCAGCGCCCTCATCAAGAAGTACCCCGTAATCAAAAATACAACCCCACAGCAAGATACAGTGAATGTGGATAACAGAGAGGGACAAAAGTTTATCTTCCATTCTTGTTTCTCCTAAGTACTCCGAAATAAGACAGCTGAGATAGATTCCTACCTTCTTTTGGGTTCTGCTTAAATTGTGCAGAAAGAGAAGAAAGAAAGATGACATCTCTGTCCCGGTCCTTCCAGGAGACACGAAAGATCTTACAGACCAGCTGCAAGGCCTGTTCTTCAGACACTTCAGAACCTGATGAAGGCTCCTTGTAAGGAAGAAGATTTGGAAGTTAATTTCAAGTAGTAGGAGGTATGAGTTAGACTTCAATAGAAATACTTAATTCTGATTTAACTCCTTTATTAATGAGGATATTTTAGAAACACATAAAACTATTCATCTACTGATTTAGGGGAAAATAAACTTGTTTCTATGACTTCAAAGTTACATGTAGGTTACATGAGCTGACAACACAATCTACAAGGGGGAGTATAAAAGAGCAAGAGCATTATCAGGAATCGCCACAGAGGAAATGTGGTAAAGAAGGTACACAGATCATATTTATTTACTTTTCTGAATGCCAAAGGACAGGTTAATATTCTAGGTACATAACTAATTTTCCTCCAGAAATTCTTCCAGAATTTAATGCTGCTTACAACTTTCCATCACAGATAAAATATCACATATAAAAGAAATTTGTAGACATGAAAGAACTATACAAAATAAAGCATTGCACCACCAGGAGGCTACAGTCCAACTGCCAATGATCATCAACAACTGCTGCTCATCACTGATAATTCACTGAACAGAAAGTGATGCAATTACCTATACCAGTTCTACACCAGCGCACCAAAAAAAAAACCCTTTTTCTAAATACAAGGAACTAAGTTCAGATTATAACAAAATATAAAGACCTCATGTTTTCAAAAAGCTTCTACTTGCTACTAGATTCCACATATTCTTTTTTTTAAGTAATTCTTTTTTTTTTTTTTAAAGATTGGCACCTGAGCTAACAACTATTGCCAATCTTCAGCTTCCCAAAGCCCTCCAGTACACAGTTGCATATTCTAGTTGTGAGTGCCTCTGGTTGTGCTATATGGGACGACACCCCAGCAGGGCCTGATGGGCGATGCCATGTCCGCGCCTGCGATCAGAACCGGGGAAAACTCGGGCTGCCGAAGTGGCCGAACTTAACCACTGGGGCCGGCCCCTCCACATAGTCTTGCTTCAATTCCCAGTCATTTTCCTCCGAATACGACCAAAGGTGTGAGGAGCTACTTGCTTAAGCAAAAGACCGACAGAAAAAAATTCAAAGTAGCTCTAAATTAATTCCCATTACAAACTAAATTCACTGATAAAAACATAGACCTGAGACAAAGATAACTGAAGGATTTTAAGACTGAGTTATACTCCAATTAACAGGGGCAATCTAGGCTACCTATTTTTCCTCAAAAGAAAAAACCAATCACCTAAATGGGATTTGCTGATTTGGGGAGGGGGCATTCTAACAGGCTCTCCAGATGCAAGATGTGCAATAGTGTTTATTTATTTTACCTGTACTAAAAACAGAAGCAAGGGCTTCATCTCTTACCAACCTTATCGCTGAGGCTCCTTTTTTCTCTTCGATCATTTTCATCAACCTCCATATTTTCAATTCCTGAATCCACATCCACCTGGGACATGCTTTAAGTATAAAAGACAAGTAAGTCTTTTACCTTTTATAAATCCACCCAATGACATAGCTGCTGGTTGAGGAAAAGTTTTAAAATATCAATCAAAATCAGTTAGGAAAGCAAAATAATAAAGGTTCATCTTTTTTCTCATGAACTTTTAAGAGCTCTTCATATGTTAGGATATAAACACTCTGTCTATTGTACTTGTTGGAAATATTTTTCCCAAGTAGTCGTTTTCTTAGGCTCACTTTGAAAAAAAAAAACAACTAATAATTACAGCAGATTTTCTATACACATTATTTTTAAATGTTATACCATCAGTCAGAGCCTAATTATAAAATCTGGTTAAAAATATATATTATTTTTCCCCACATTAAATAAATAATTGTCCTAGTACCAGTTATGGAAAAGAGCATCCCTTTTATACTAATATGAACTCCTCTATGTCATATGTGTGTGGGTCTATTTCTGGACGCTAATTTCTGTTCCATTAGACAACTTGTCTGTCCCTGAGCCAATACCACTCTATCTTACTTACTAAAACTTCACAATAAGTCTTGATATCTCCTAGGTCAATGCCTCCACTCTGTTCTTCTACTTCCAGAATCTTGGCCATTCTCAGCCCTTTGCTCTTCCATACATACTCAAGAATCAGCTTAACAGGTTCTTAAAATTCCTGTTGGGATTATGACTACAATTTCATTGGCTCTATTGGGGAGAAATGACGACATTATGTTATTGAGTCTATCGATGGAGAAGGTTTCTCCCCAAGTATTTAGGCCTTCCTTATGGTCTTTCAGTAACCTTTTAAAATTTTCCCTATAAGTCTTTCACTTCTTTTGCTAAATTTGTACATAGGTACCATATATTTTTTAATGAACTTGTGAACAGTACCTTTTCAAAAATTAAGTTTTCTAATTTTTTTGTTGCTAGTACATAGTAGTCTAACTGACTTTAGATGTAGACGTCTTACAAGCAACTTGTTTACTGATACATAGGGTTTACTAGGTAGACTATCATTTTATCTCCAAATAATAACTGTTTTGTTTCTTCCACTCCAATTCTTATTTGTTTTACTACACTGGGTAGGATCCACATGTGGAACAGAAACAGAAATAGCAGTCACCCGTGTTCTTATTCCTGATTTTAAAGAGTGTTTCTAATTTCTCACCACTGAATATGAGAGTTGCTACAGGTTTTTGGAAGATTTCCTTTATATAATCAGAATAAGATAGGCCCTGCTGTGGTAACACATACACTCTGAAATCTTAGAGGTTTAACACTGTAAGGGTTTGTTTCTTGCTTACGCAAAGTCTGATGAGAGTGAAGCATCCTTACTCCATCTTTAATCTATGCCATCTGCAATACACAGCCTCCAAGGTCACTGGAGCAAGAGAAGAGAGGGATGGAGGAGGAACATCGGCTCAAGTGCCTTCGCCTAAAAGTGACACATGTCACTTCCACTCACAGTCTACTGGACAGAATTAACGACTTGGCCCCAATCTAACTGCAAAGGAGACTGGAAACGCAGGGGAACAAATAGGATATTTGGTGAACTCTCTGCCATACTGTCGGTTTAAGAATGCACCTTCCTGTTTCCTGTTTGCTAGGATTTTTATCATGAATCAATGTTGAATTTTATCAAAGTTTCACAACTCCCATGATTATATGGCTTTTCTCTTTAATACGCCATGTAGTGAACAATATTTATAGATTTTTCTAATGGTAAAGCACCCTTGCATTCCTGAGATAAACCCAAGTTGATCACGTAATCTTGTTATATCAAACTAAAATTTTAATTCAAATATCTATAAGGAAATGTGCAAAGATGACCATAAGTATTTGGCTGAACAGTCTCACAAAGGAGACATACTAATGTAATCAGCACCCAGATCAACAAACAGAACATTACCAGCACCCCAAAAGCCTCCCTTCTGACCCTTCCAATCACTATTACACTGGCCCACAGTAGCCTGGCATCTAGCCCCATAGATGTTTTGTCTGTTTTTTAGGTGTTGCAGTATTTGATTTATCAATATCTTAAGATTTTCGCAAAGATGTTCATGAATATGATTACCATGTAATTAACTTTCTTCTTTTATATTATTCTTGTCTGGTTGTGATATTAAGGTCATACAGACTCATAAATTAAACTGGTGAGTGTTCTCTATTTTTTAAAATTATCTGGGAAAATTTGTGTAAAGTTGGAATGGTAGAACTACCTATAAAACCATATGAGGAAGGTGCTTGCTTTGGGAAATTTTAAAATACTGATTCATCTCATGTTTTTTGATTATTCAGGCTCTCTCTTCTTGAGTCAATTTTGGGACAATTATGTTTTTCTAGGATTTTATTTTCATCTGAATTTTCAAATTTATTTGTACATTTACATTTTTCTTGGAATTCTCTTTTTCACTAACAATTATCACTGAGAGCCCTTTCTATGCAGGCATTGTTCTAGGTGTCTGAGATGTCAATGAACAAGAGACCAAAAAATCCCTGGGTCACGGAGCTCACATTCTAGTTAGAAGGAGAAAGATAATAAACAATAAACATAATAAATAAGCAGAGCACCTAGTATAATGATAAATACTATAGAAAAATTAAAGAAAAAAAGAGCAGGGAAAAGGCAATTGAGAATGCAGGGTTTTCCATTAAATGGGGTGAGCCTCACTGAGAAATGCCATAGTGGTAAAAATATGAAGGAGGGTTCACCAAGCACATATCCAGGGGAATAGTATTCCAAAGAAAGGATTTTTATTCCCAATATTTATTTGTAGTATCCTCTTTTTCCTTTTTAATTTATTATAGCTTTATATTTTCTTCTAAGGACCACTTTACCTATAATACACAAATCATCATATGAAATATTTGTTATTGTTCAGTTCTAGATACTTTCAAATTTCCATTATGATTTCTTCTTTCACCTGTATTTAGAAGTATCCTCCGTTTTTAAAATTTCCAAACGTATGAGAGTTTTTGTAAAGTTTTTTCCCTACATTGATTATCTAACCTAATGTACTAGTCAGAAAACATGATCTGTATGACTCTAACTCCTGAAACTTTTTGGTTGATGGGTATCAGAAAAGAATGTATATTTTCCAACTGCACAGTACAAAGTTGTGTATCTTCAATTAAATCAAGCTTGTTAGCTGTTGTTTAATTTGTACGTATGCTTACTGATGTGTATTCTCTTTGATCTTTCATGGCTGAAAAGTCATGTTAAAAATCTCCCATTATGATTATGTATGTGTCAGTTTCTTCTAGTTCTACCAATATTTGCTTTATTACATATTGCTGTTACGTTACCAAATGCATATACTTTGGAAACTATTACATCCTACTGGTAAACTAAACACTTATTATATAGTGCCTACTTCTAGCTTATTTCTATTCTACTTTGGACGTTAAAGTCTAAAGTATTAAAATGTTTACCCAAATTTTCTTTTGTTAAGTATTTGCCTGGTATATTTGCTCTTTCTTTTACTTTCAACCTTTCTGTAACCTAATGTTTCAGGTATGCTTTCTGTAAACAAGGATAAAGCTGGGTTCTATTTTGTTTTCAATCGAACCTATGTCTTTTCACTGTGATTTATTGTGATTACTGACATATTTTCATTTCTTTTAACCATCTTATTTTGTGCTGTTTGTCTCCTTAAAAATTTGTGTTTCTTTCTTCCCTTTCTTTGAACTGACTTAAATCCCCAAATTTCCTCACCTCTGTTCCATATTTTCCCTTTACTGGTTTGGAAGATATATTCTACTTCCATTGTTTTAATGGTTACTCTTGAAATTTTATCTAGTATTCTTAACTAAAACTAAAAGCTGGCCAGTCTTTATCCCTCTCCCAAGTATACAAAGATCTCAGAGCTCACTCTCATCAGTCCCCTTCTGACTCACCTGCTATTGCTCTCTAGCATGTAAGACCTACCCAATATTTTTTACTTCTCTTCCCCAATATTATTTTATACACTATTATTGTTTTATACCATCAGTGTTTGTTTAGATTTACCACGTTTATTACTTTCTTCACTCATCCTTCCTTCTTGCATCTCAGACATTAGTCCTGAGATCATTTTCCTTCTTCTTAAACTACATCTGTTAAAAGTTGGGGTCTTCTGGTGGCAGACTATCAAGTTGTTTTTGTTTGTTTGTTTGTTTGTTTTTTAAATCTATAAATGTCTTTATTTCACCCCTGCTCTTAAAAGATTTTTATAGGTGCTGGCCCTGTGGCCGAAGGGTTAAGTTTACACGCTCTGCTTTAGCGGCCCAGGGCTTTGCCAGTTCAGATCCGGGGCATGGACCTAGCAGTGCTCTTCAGGCCATGCTGAGGCAGCGTCCCACACAGCAGAACCAGGAGAACCTGCAACTAGAACATACAACCATGTACTGGGGGGCTTTGGGGAGAAGGGAAAAAAAGGAAGATCGGTAACAGATGTTAGCTGTTAGCTCAGGGCCAATCTTTAAAAAAAAAAAAGAAAGATAGTTCCACAGGGGTACACAATTCCCAGTTGACAGTCACTCTCTTTCAGCATTTAATGCTATTATTCCACCATCTCCTGGCTTCCATCATTGAGACATCTAACTGTCATTCTTTTATAGATAAGCCCTCCTTTCTCCCTGGCTGCTTTAAAGGCCTTTGTTTTTGCCATTCTGCAATTTTACTATAAGATGTCTAGATGTGAACTTTTCTGTTTAACCCACTTGCAAGTTGCTGGGTTTCCTGAATCTGAGGATTCCTATCACTTATCAACTCTAGAAAAATTCTCAGCCACTTATCTTTTCAATAATGGCTTCCAAACCAGTAGAGTAAAAAACGTGGAATAAGGAGGGAGCTGGGGAATCTCTCCAAGTCTCTCTAGTTTCTCCTTTCGATATTTCTATTAGATATATATTGGATCTGTGTCCTCTATATTTCTAAATATCTTCCATCTCTTTTCTCTTTGTGGTGCACTCTGGAAATTCCTTCAGCTCTATCATTTCATTTGTTAATTGTCTCTAGCTATGTCTAATCCACTGTTTAACTCATCTATCAAGTTTTCAGTTTGAATTATCTTTTCATTTCTAGAGATTGCTTTTGGTTCTTTTTCATACGTATTGGTTGTTTTTATAGTCGCCCGCCCCTTATTCTTGTTTTCAATTCCCTTTCGAATTTATTCAAAGATACATACTTTATATTCTGTAACTGATAATTCCAAAACCCCAAAATCTCTAGGTGAATAATTCTCGTTGTTAGTGATTCTGCTGACTCTTACTCATGGTAGCTTTTTTCTAGCGTGTTTTGTGATTTTTTTGACCATGAGCTCATATTTCTTGGAAATTTTTCTAAGGAAATTCTCTGAAGACATGAGTAATTTATTTTTGCTTCTCCTAGATGCCTAAAGGCAGTGCAGGCCTGGATCCATTGTATGACAATTCTTGGCTTGAGGTTTTTCAGACTATACCAATAGTGTAAATCTAGGTGCTAAACTCATATGAAAGTCACCTACCAGCCATGAAATTGGAGAGTTGACTTAATTTTTCAAAAATATGTATACTCAGAGCAAAAGTAATAAAAACACAATCGTTTTTATTCTTGGGGTTGATTTTTTTCTACTTCCTCTTTCCCCTGAGAGTGTAGTCCTTCCTGAATTCTTGCCTAATGTGGGTTTGTCTCTGATCTGGCCCCTCGCCCCAAACCCACCAAGTGCTGAAGCTCTATACCAGTGCTTCTCAACCTTTTTCACGTCATAACACACATAGAAAATGATATTTGTCTGGCCCACTGACATAAACAGAGGGGGCTGCCTGAGGGTAGAGGAGACAGGTCCTGAGGAAGGTCTGGCTTGCCCAAGGAACAAAGGTATCAACACGCAGCTACTCTATCACTCATTCTCAGCACACTTGCGGCACAGGAAGGCTGTGCTGGAGGACACTCTGATCCTGATGGCGCTCCGAGGGTATTTGGCTTACCTGTCTGTACCATTCCAAACTTTTTATATTTCACCAACCAATAAAACTGTGAAGAAATGTTTAGGGACTGACATATGCTTGCTAACTTTCTATTTACTAAATAAGGACATTAAAAAAAAACCGAAACATTTTTTACTACCTACACCATTATTTCATAAAAGACATTTCAACACCAAAAACATACAAAGGCATAAAGAATATTTCAGAACAATACAAAGACCTTAAAATGTAATAAATTTCGCTCTCATTTGCTAAGGACTGCACGGATCTCTGGCTGGCATTTGAGAGTACTGGACTAGAGACTAAAGTGAATGGGTCCTTCCCTTTCCATAAATAAAATAACTTACTGGAAAATTGGCTTACTTTACCTTTTCTCACAAGAGACACCGTCGATATCCATGCTCTGGGAACGAGACAGAGACTGAGATTGTGTTTCAAGGCTATTGGAGGGCGAGCTGCTGAGAGAACTGACTCCTTCACTGCTCTGGCTTCGATGGGCTACTCCTACACAGAAAAGACACGAAAGATTAAGTTCCAGGTGAAATAACATTAAAGCCATTTGTATGGCAACAGGAAACACAACACAATCAGCACTCATACCATCACGATAGGCAACAACCGAGGAATTTCTATCAGAAGATTACACTACATGCGGAAGTAGTATTAAAGTCATAGGAACATTAGCAAGAAATCATAACTTATCAATATACGTCATATGAAGTCAGTAACAGAGCTACATCTGATAGCTAAAACTGACTCCCCATCACCTTTCTTTCACCACTTCAAACTATGGTCCCTGAATACAAATTAGCTTACGTGATATTCCAGAAAAATCCCTGAAATGTACCAAAATAAGATACATGAATGAATGGATATAGAGACACATAGATGGAGAGAAGTGTGATAAAGCAAACAGAGTAAAATGTTAATGGTAGAATCTAGATGGTGAGTACACGTGTTCACGTCAAAATTCTTTCAACTTTGCTGTATGCTTAACATTTTCATAATGAAATGTTGAAAACCTGTAAATAGACTCATATAAATCATATCCTTAAATACAGTCAATCCACTTATTGACTGAACATCTTATCTGTGATAGTTCGAGGAAAATCAAAAAACCTGACACTCTTGCCCTCGCAGAGCTCACAGTGTAGTGAACCACTGCCATGAGTGCAGGCACAGATAACTTCTCATCAAGGTCTTTACAACCACGTTTTGCACAGAATTTCAAAAATTACTTCAACTTCACGAATATCCTTCCACAAAAAAAAGAAAAGTTTACCTAGGTATTTGCAAGTACTTTTAAAAAATATATACCTATGTTATTGAAAGGAAAATGAGACTCACATGTTTTAAAAAACAAAGCAACCTGAATTATCATTTGTAGCTGATACAACCACCAAGTGGATAAAACTTTAACTCTCCCAGCATTCTAAGGAAGTAAACTTGCCACCCTTTAGTGTCTCTCCATTGAAGAACATTACAAAACATTTATGCATTCCTGACAGCAGGCTTTACACGTGCTTGTTTATTAAAACTTTGGCAGAACTCATGAAGGAAAAGAGAAACTAAATTTTCACTATTCCTAGGTAGGTAGACTCAAGTAAAATACCAAAAGCATCTAACATAGTGAGAATCTGAAATAAGCTTATAGAAGACGGCAAAACTTTAAATTCACTAATTCAAGAAGCGTAACCCAAAGTAAGCTCTCAATAAATATTTATTGAAGGAATAAATAATATAGCATCAATAACGTCCTTAGGAGAATGTGAGTTTACCTATCACAATGAAAGGCCTGACAATTTTTTTTTTTTAAAGATTGGTGCCTGAGCTAACATCTGTTGCCAATCTTCTTTTTTCTTTTTTTTTTCTTCTTTTCCCCAAAGTCCCCCAGTACATGTTGTATATTCTAGTTGTAGGTCTTTCTGGCTCTGCTGTATGGAACGCCACCTCAGCATGGCTTCATGAGCAGTGCTAGGTCCGCTCCTAGGATCTGAACCGGTGAAACCCTGCACCACCGAAGCGGAGCGTGCAAACTTAACCACTCGGCCACACGGCCGGCCCCTTGACAATTTTTAATTAAAATTAATCAATAATAAAGTTCAATAATTTTTATGGGATATCAATTAAGCAGCTTTAAAATTTCTACCTGATAAAACCAGTTCTAAAATAAACTTATAATAAGTTGTTTGAAAAACTGTATTTGTAATATATTATGCTATATTATGTGTACAATAATCCTATAATAATATATTGTCAGAGTATACCATATAGTGTAATATACTGTAATTGCAATATTTTTAAAAGACATCAAGGATATCATCTGAATTCTTTTTTTCTTGAACCCTCCATGTGATCTTCACATTCTGTGTCAAGTAGGGCAATTATCTCCAGAATTAACTATATAGTGTTCCTCAATCTCTGTACACGATGTGACCCCACGCCTTTCTTAAACTTAAAAAACAGACGGTCTCTTTGACTTTATTTAGAATCAATACAAATTAAATATGGTGACTAAAAACAAAGCAAATGTACAAAATATTGCTTTGTTTTCAAACCACACACACATACTTTTGTCATCTTACCCTCTCCCACCCCTAACTTGTGAAATCACAGTCAGGAAGCCAAGTTTTAAAACACAGATTTCTTTTCCCCCCTCTTTCATCCTCATAAAGCCAGATATTAAAGAGTTACAACACAGACAGAACCTCTTTTGATCCTCTTTTAGATGATGAATAAAATCTCTACATATCAACTAAAAACCAAATTTTCAAAAAGTGAGGGTGTGTAACAAAGAATGAAGAAAGCCACATCTGCTTAATATAACATGAACTACAAACTTTCAAGATGGCAGCTTTCCAAACTTTTAAGACTGATAAGAGCTTGTTAAAGGTAAATTATGCATGCTGTGTGAGAAGGTCAGAATTTCAAAGAAAATAAGACGGATTTTATTTCTGTAAGATTTCCTCCTAGTACTGTAATATTTCCTGAATGATATTCTCTTTCAGGTATAAACTAGACCAAATGCCTATTTTTAAACTGTAGCATTAGATCTATTCCAGTATTTTACATATACACATGCACACATGCACATAAGCTTGCCAAATTCTAGTATAAAAAGCAGCACAGAATTGCCAAAAAGGGCCTTAAAACCTCCATAAAGCTGTTTAAAAAGGGGAGGGGGTGACTTGGAAGATCTTGTCCACTCCTCTTCTTTTACAGATAATACTGAGATCTGCAAAGTCTAAGAACTTCCCTTAGGACCTTCAGCAAGTAAGAAACAGAGCAGATATTAAAACACAGGTCTCCTACTCCAAAGATAATACTGCTCTTTCCTCTACTCCACATTACTCAACAGTTCTTTGATCACAGCTATTTTAAACCAAAGCTATATGTTTTAAACATTCTAAAATTACAAAACTAAACTTAGAAAGATATTAGTGCTATAAAAGGAATCATTCATTCCTCTAATAATCAAAATTCTAAAGCTTATTTACACAGATCTTGACAATAAACTAAGCTAAAGGGTGAACATTCATGGAAAATACAAAGCGTACTCAGATGGTATTTGGCCAATATCAAACCTTATCCCTCAATACTACTTATAATGAGCATATTCTATTCCATAAAGCACACTGACATATTTGGTCAGCAGCTATTTCGTGGTGAAAACATTTTATTCTTGTGAATAAACACAAATAAAATGAAATTTCAAACCTTTGAAGAAAAATAGTACAATCTAAAATACTGGGACAAGAAAACCAACAACTCAAATTAGAAAACTGCTTTCATCTTCATATTTATGAGATACAGGAGTCCTTTCCTTAGTGTCAAAAGGGGGAATCACACAGAGAAGCACCATCTGGAGTCAAAAGACCACGAATGCTCCTTGGAGAAATGGCTGAATCTAGGGTTGGGGCAGGGAATACACAAGATGAGACTGGACCATTTCATAGTGCCAGAAAGACAGGACTCAAAAAAAATAAAAGGATGGGCATGGCAAACATGGAGTCAACCCGAAAAGGCTCCCAGTGGCCAAAGCTGGGACAATTTGTGTAAAATAAATAATGCAAAAACAAATCTAGTAATCTGGATTACAACTCAAAGTATAAAACAAATATACATGTGTTCATACTGATATAAGTAAGAATTAAATAAATAACCAGAGAGAAGGGATAAATGCTCTTTACAGATGAATTCCAAATACTACATGTAGATATCCCCTCCTCCAGGAGGGAAAGTTTAATCTCCACTGCCTGAATAGAGGCTGGACTAGGAACTCCAGAGAAGTGAGGAGGAAAAAGGAAAAATCCTGCCTGCACACTGCAGAGACCTGGTGAACACCTGCTGAACCACGTGGTGAAGGTGAGCATCACCAGGGATGCTGTGTGGTCAGCACGCGCCCTGCGGCGATGTGATGAGAAGGGCACTTCACCTGTGTGACAGTCTTCCCCCAAACCCAAAACCCCAGTGTAATTGCAAGAAAAACACCAGATAAAGCCAAATTAACGGACTTCTACAAGGTATTCTTCAAAACTGTCAAGATAAACGGGGCTGGCCCCGTGGCTGAGTGGTTAAGTTCGCGCGCTCCGCTGCAGGCGGCCCAGTGTTTCGTTGGTTCGAATCCTGGGCGTGGACATGGCACTGCTCATCAAACCACGCTGAGGCAGCGTCCCACATGCTACAACTAGACAGACCACAACGAAGAATATACAACTATGTACCGGGGGGCTTTGAGGAGAAAAAGGAAAAAATAAAATCTTAAAAAAAAAAAAAAAAAAACTGTCAAGATAATGAAAAACACGGAAAGACAGAGACTGCCACAGACCAAAGGAGTCTAAGGAGACTGACGTTTAGTTACCAGTAATATGCCAAGGTTAATTTCTCAGTCAGTTATTTTTAAATTTTTTTAAATTAATTAATTAATTATTATTATTATTTTTTTTTTTTTGAGGAAGATTAGCCCTGAGCTAACATCTGCCGCCAATCCTCCTCTTTTTGCTGAGGAAGACAGGCCCTGAGCTAACTAACATCCGTGCCCATCCTCGTCTACTTTATATGCAGGACGCGTACCACAGCATGGCTTGACAAGCAGTGCCATGTCTGCACCTGGGATCCAAACCTGTGAACCCCGGGAGGCCGAAGCAGAACATGCCAACTTAACCGCTGCGCCACCAGGCAGGCCCCAATTTCTCAGTTTTGACAAATGTACCAGATAGTACCATTAGGGGAAACTGGGTGAAGGATATATGGGAATTCTCTATACTATCTACGCAACTTTTCTATAAATCTAAAAAATAATTTAATAATAATTTTTGGAATAACCAAAATAAATGCTTATTTTACAAAAAGTCTAGGACTGGAACCCTGATTCCATGACTTCTACTTATGTGACCTTGAGCAAGTCACCTTATTAATATTTTCACTTACAAACTGGTAATATTGTATCTGTGCAGCCTACTTCATAGTCCTGTTGTGAAGTTCCAATGAAATAACAAACGTGA